TTCCGTATTTACAAGACGAGATTTTCCTAATTGTTTTGCGTTTTATTGTAGATTTGAGTTCCTTTTATTATTTAGTTAAATTACTCCTGCTCCTTAATTTTTAAATATTCTGCAAAAATAATCTTTTTGCGAAATACAATCATTGCTTTAGCGCCCTTAATCTCCGGCCTCAACGGTCGAAACTGCAGTAACGGCACAGGAATGTCGAAAACCAAACCGAGAAGCTACTTCAATATTAAACTACCATGGCCTTACTAAGGCGCTGAGATACAACTATTTGAACTCCCCGGAACGCAAGCGGTCTCACAGTTCAATTGAAGGCGTTTTCGAATCTTCTGTATTTTCATGACAAGACTTTCCAAATTTGTTTGCGTTATATTGTAGATTTAAGTGCCTTTTATTATGTAGTTGAATCACTCCTACGGCTTAATTTTCAATTATTCCGCAAAAGCTATCGATTTGCGAAACACAACCCTGCCTTTAGCGCCCTTAAACTCCGGCTTTAACGGTCGAAACTGCAGTAGCGGCTCAAGAAAGCCGAAAAACATCACTGGGATGCTACTTCAATATTAAACTTCCATCGCGTTCCTAAGGCGCAGGGAAACAACTATTTGAATTCGCTGGAACGCGTGAGGTATCACGCCTCATTTGAAGGCGTTTTGAATCTTCCGTATTAACATGACGAGATTTCCCAAATTGTTTTGCAATATATTGTAGATTTGAGTTCCTTTTATTATTTAGTTAAATTACTCCTGCTTCTTAATTTTTAATTATTCTACAAACACTATCCATTTGCGAAATGCCACCCTGTGTTTAGCGCCTTTAAAAAAGTTAGTTTTTTGCATTATATTGTAGATTTGGGTTCCTTTTATCATTTAGTTAAATTATTCCTGCATCTTAATTTTCAATTATTATGCAAATATCATCATTTTGCGAAATACAATCCTGGCATTAGCGCCCTTAAACGACAGCCTTAACGGTTGAAACTACAGTAGCGGCACAGAAAAACCGAAAAACAACGCGAGGACGCTCCTTCAATATTAAACTTCCATCGCGTTCCTAAGGCGCAGGGATACAACTATTTGAACTCTCCGGAACGCGTGAGGTATCACACCTCAATTGAAGGCGTTGACGAATCCTCTGTATTTTCATGACGAGATTTTCCAAATTTGTTTGCATTATAACGAGATTCGAGTTCCTTTTATTATTTAGTAATATTATTCCTGCTTCTTAATTTTAATTATTCCTCAACAATTATCTTTTTGCGGAATTCAACCCTAGCTGCCCTTAAACTCCGGCCTTAACCGTCGAAACTGCAGTAGCGGCACAGGAAAGCCGAAAAACCAAACCGGGACGCTACTTCAATATTAAACTTCCATCGCCTTGCTAAGGCGCAGGGATACAACTATTTGAACTCTCCGGAACGCGTGAGGTATCACGCTTCAATTGAAGGCGTTTTCGAATCTTATGTAATTACATGACGAGATTTTCCAATTTTTTGCGCATTATAATGTAGATTTTAGTTCCTTTTATTATTTAGTTAAATTACTCCTGCTCCTTAATTTTTAATTATTCTGGAAAAATTATCTTTTTGCGAAATACAATCCTTGTTTTAGCGCCCTTAAACTCCGGCCTTAACGTGAAATTTCATCAGTGAAATTTTCAAACAATTTCTCTGTGAAAAAAAGAAATGCCGGCGGAAATTTTTAAACGTCGCATGGTACTTGGGATACTTTGGCCGGAGGGTGACGACGTATACAAAATGAAATACAGAGGTCCGCTGGACAGTGAATCCTTGCATTATTGCCGTTATGAAAATCAAAACGCCTTCATAACAGGGCCGGATTTACCTACTTGCCGCCCATGGGCCGCCTGCATTTTTCCGCCCCATTCTCATTGAGACGCGTTTACTCGTATTGAGCACATTTTTTGTGAAAGTCCTGTCAACAGTAACAAAAGTTCACGGATCTTTGCGCGAAAGTTAAGTTCCGTAAACCCATCCCTGTTTGGACAAGGCCTTCCATTTCTAAGAAACGATCGAAAAAATTATGAAATTATTGTGTCTTAAGGCTAGAAAGAAACCTCCAAAATAGCTCAAAGTTACTAGAATCGAAGCGCGTAAATTCATTTGCCTTGCCATTGTATTACTGTCATCAAACTGTCCAAATTAATGAAAAAGTACAATAATGAATTAAAAATATATGTGATGTAAAAGGAAGGGGGTACAGAACACTAATTACATACGATTTTTCACTATTTTAAGCTGTTTCACAAGCCTCTGGATGTAACATAGAAAGTTTCAAAAAGTGAATAAAATTTCACTTCAGAATCTTTCATGAAATTTCGCAACTCTGTGACCGTACTGTTTGACGCAATGCGTGAAGTATTCATGCAGTCTTGTGGGCGCTATGCGTTTCAAGCCGACTGCTGCTGACTGCAGTGTGGTTAACGCAATGCGTGAAGTATTCACGCAGTCTTGTAGGCACTACATGCGTTTCAAGCCGACTGCTGCTACTGACTGCAGTGTGGTTGACGCAATGCGTGAAGTATTCACGCAGTCTTGTAGGCGCTATGCGTTTCATGCCGACCGCCGCGCCTACGGGAACCGATCAGAAATGGATTCACATTGTCTTGACTCTCAATATAAAGGGACTATAGCCGCGCCGAGGCTTTCTCCTTTTCACCTCAGTCCTCGTCATCATTGTTCTCTGCACCGCTCCGCTCCAGGTCAAATTGCGTGTTTGGTTTTTCTTTTAACTCAACTAATTAAAGGTGTTGTCTCTTGTACCACCGAAAGACGACAAAATTAGAAATTACTATACTTTTACTCTTAGGAAATGAGAGACTTTGTCGCCTTTTTTCGTTTGAAATTTATTTTCTGAATCCGATTTTTCTCTCTTTTTTTAATACCTACATTCAAAAAGATTGCAAAATTTGCCGACCCCTGGCCTTCAATTTAATGAATGCAACACAGACATTCATTGAGAACGTTCAGTTGCATCCAGGCGTTGCATTGATCGGAGAATGTGTCGCGATTTAATCGCCGTCGATTCATCGCAATGTTATCGAACAAAAAATCGTGATAGATTAAAGGAAAGTTCTGATCTTATACAACGCGATTTTTTAGAGATAAAATTGCGACGAGATTGAGGATAATCACTCAGATGTTTGATGATCCTAGCGATTTTATCGCCAAAAAATCGTAAAACAATCGAAACTTGATTTCAAAATACCGCGATTTTTCCGTCGAAAAATGCTACTTTGGGGTGCCTTCAATTCTTTTCCTCCGGTGATGCAGGAATATAAAGAAATGTGCGACTACTCCAGTCCAATTTTTCAATACCTACCTCCGATTACGCGTTTTATTGTTTTAAAATAAAAATAGCAAAAACGCTAACAGGTGCATGGCGTTAGACTGGATTGGAAATCATTTTTTTCCTCGCTACTGGTGCTCGGAATTTAAAGTAACATAATCCTCAGTCTTTTAAATTTATGAAATTTGAATTTTTCTGGAACAGTTCCAAACTGCTACAGTTTGAGAATAATAGGGAAAATCTTTCCCAGATTTTAAGTTCCTCATCCCAAAATTAACAAAGCCATTGCCCTTAGTAAAAGCAAGGATTGATCAGCTTAGATAATAAATGCATGTCACAATTTACTCCACCTTGGGTTTCCGAGTTCATGATGAACACATTTTTACTGGTTCCTCCTGGACCATCATTGATAGTTGCAAGGTTCAGAAAAGGCCCGTTGATGATTTCTTCAGTGGCATGACGTTCTTTGCGATGAATCGATAGATCTGCCATTTAAACTTATGGTAAAGGATGGATAAACAGGATGTTCGCAACAAACTCCTTAATAGACGATTCTTTACCATAGCTTCAAAAGGGGAAATATCGATAATCGATCTTTCATGCCTCCCCACCGGAATTTTAGAAGTCGACTTCTTCGCCAATGTTTATTCCTTTCGGACTATCGTTAGGATTTTCATGATCATTAAAACATGATTTGATGACTGAATGTCTCGTTCTTTTATCACTAATCGAAATATTTTAATCAAAAAACTTTTAAAAATGATTATTGAAAAAATAGGACTTAAATACTGAAAGTCTTAGCTCCCAAAAAGGGCACGAGGGGGGGGGGGGCTGAGGGAGGGCAGAGTCAGGCGAGCAAATCTCTCTTTCATCTAAGGGTTGATTAGCTTCGTTAAGCCTGGGTCATTGGAATTAAACGTTTCAACCTTTAAACAGTTCCCCAAACCCATTACTGATTCTGCTCCTCACCCACCACTTTCAGTCGCATGGACTATACTTTTGAGGCACGAATGGCTCTTACAGATTCACTTGCTATTAGAAAATTACTGATTTTAACAAGAAATTAAATTAGGACAAAAGGTAAACAGAACCAGGCTTCAAATAAACACTTCTGACTTAAGAATAATAATTAGTTTTAGTGGCAACTGAGGAGCTACATGCGCTTCCTTATGCACATTATTTTGTTTCCTATAGACTGATTCGTTTCCTTTGTGTCATGATGGTAAAATGCGCCCAAGTGTTTCTTACGGTTGAAATTTCTCTTGTATATTGAGTCCTTAATTGATTTCTGACCTGTCAATGACTAAATTGTAATGAATTAACACAATTAATTAACTCATGAAGAATTTGTACATAAGGTGATGTTAGGTTATATTATTTGTTTTGGTTTGAACCAAGAGTTTGATATATTATGGAATGACAAAGTCGTTAAATCAGCCTATTGATATTTTAAATACAAGAAAGAACTTACTATGACCGTAACTAGTCTTACAATCTTGTGTCTGTTTGCTCACTATTTTGCATGAAAGCATGTCTCAGATAAATAGCAAGGAAGGAGAGAAGATAATCTCTTTGTCCTCACCATGAATCATCTCTCATTTTTGGAGAAAAATTTCCCTCTGGTAGTTCTGTAGAATGAAACTATGTAGATAGATATTGGTGAGAGTTGACAAAAAAATATTCAGCTGACTTGAAAAAAGAAGTCCAGTTTTATTTAAACTAGTTACTTACGACTTCAAACAAAGGATTAAAAAATGTTCTATAAACAATGGAGACCAATTTCTTAGACATTTACAACATATGAAACAAAAACTCTTAAAATTAGGACATTTTTACAAAATACACAAAAGTTAAAATACATACAAAGATCGATGGCAGCTAAAAAGACTGTTTTGGATATCAGTCAGTTGCTTAGCAATACTCGTCAGTAGAAGATACTCTCACTAAAATAGTTTCTTGATTCTGATTGCCTTCTCTAAAGAATGAGTTGATATTATTAAATGAAAGAAAATAGTAAGACAGAGTTACACTTAAAAGAAGAGAGGAGGAGGATGAGGCTTAAAATATTAATCAGTTGGTCATGATGAAATTTCGCGGATACTTTCGACAGCAGCATTCATTTCATCATTTGAAATAATCTCTGTACTTTTTTTGGTCTGTACATTATTCTGGAAACCATTGGTTTCAAAGTCAATTATGTTCACATCATTTTTTTCACCATTTTCTAAGTCTAGCATATTTATATCATTATTTGCGTAGCTCTTTACATCTACAATGCTTAAATTACTACTCTCTGAGACTTTAGCTGATTTTTTACTGACATCTATGAGACTTGAATTATTTGTTTTGTGATTTTCTGAGTAGACTTCGTCTACCTCTACAATATCTAGATCACTAATTTTATTTCTTTCACTTGGGCTTTTGCTCCCATCTAATTCATTAGGTGTGTCCGTTTCACTCTTAGATGTTGAATTACCTATCGCAATGGTCAAGTTTGTGTTGTTTACTTCAACCTCTTTTGATGGCTTTTCCTTAACATCTCCGACTTCAGACTTAACTTCATTTTCAGAGTTATTATTAATTTTGCAATTTTCAGTTTGTTTTTCATCCGTGACGGTTGAGTTCAAATCATTTGTTTCATTTGGTTTCTTTTCGGGTTGTTCATCAACATCCATAACTTCCACATCATTTATTTCCTCTTTATTTGCAGGCTTGTTAGTTGAATTCTGGTTTAATTTGATCTTTTTGAACGATCCATCATCCTTCATTGATTCCACTTCTGAATCATCATCCAATTCTATTACATCACCAGAATTATTATGATTTATAGATGCTTCCTGTTCTACTTTTGATTCTTCCTTTGAAAGATGCTTATTTTTATCGTACTCGTTCGAATTGATTTCGACATCATCGATTGTGGAGTCAGGTTTCCCATCGGAAATTTTACTATTCGAGTCATCAGAGGTTTGTTCCGGATCGCGCCTCGCAAGACCTAGAACATTCAACATTGGTGGAGCTTCTGACAGATTGGCTTTCAGAGGTGGAGGCGTCTTCTCAGCGTTTTCATTGGGCGTCACAAAAGCTCTAAGCCATCTATCCGTAGGGTCTGCAGCATCTGCATCATCTAAGGAAACCAATGGTGGGAAACTGGCTGACTGCGACTGAACCGTGTTTTGGGCTGCTCTTTCAGCGCTTGGATAAGCAGACTTGCGTTTGCACTGTGCCAAATGTTTGGTAAGCTTATTGCCGGATCGGCTACTAAATCCGCATACACAATGCATTGCTTCGGGGAGAATGATTGGAGTACCGATATTGAACGATTCTTTAGGCGTTCCAGCAACAAGAGAATGGAACACTTGAGAGTGCTCGTACATTGCTTTGCCGCAGTATGTAGAGTAACAGCAGACTATACAGGAATATTTTCCTTCGAAATGGTCATTACCAGAAATTAAACCTTCACACTCGCAACAAGTGGCCTCTTCTGGAATATCCACCAACTTTAAGGAGAGGAATTTATTCACAGTGTAGGTTTTAAACCCTGTGGCTTCCATTATATTCTGTTGGAAAGATCTTTGAATGTTCTTGGATGACATGGCAGAAGGTTTAGGCATCATTACAGAATCCACATTTGACTTGTATCGTTCAACATCGGGTACTCCGACATAAGACACGTGATCTTTATCCTTGTGCTCTTTGAGAATACCTTTGTGAACAAACTGAAGTTCACATCTGTCACATCTGCGTGCAGTAGATTTCCGATGATGCTTCTGAATATGATGAAAAAAGAAGAATAAATTCCTAGTCATGCCTCTATTTCCGGATTTCAACAAAATAATTTTTAGACAAAGCGGACACATAATTTTACCGGTACCATCGTGCTCTTTATAGAAGTGATCGATAACTTTTTTATGCTCAGAGGTGCGGTAATAACAAAAACCACATTCGTACGGTAACTCTAGTTCATAGTGAAATCGGTGCATGTGCAATATCAACGAAGACCTATCTTTAAATTTCTCCACACATATTAAGCATCTAGGTTCACTCTCATTTTTGACGTGTGCTTCATCAATATGAGCATCAAGGTTGAACTGGGATGAGAATGATTTTAAACAGTACTTACATATTGGATCCAAGTTTTTGGGTACCCTCTGACTATCTGCATGCAACGCATGAGCGATTATGTGCATCATCAACTTCATATTATTATCGAACACTTCTTTACAAACACAACATGCTAAATTCAAATTTACTTTCTCTTGAGAACTGATAATTTCGCTATTGCTTTGATACGTTCCGTAATAGTAAGAATTGAGAGGTTGGAGGGTAACATTCGGTGTGGCCTTTGGCACTCGGCTGCTTGGGCCTATTGTTGGCCTCTTTGCCTGTGGTCCAAGGCCGCTTGAGCCTTTCTTCCGTTTCCCTGTGTTTTCTGGTTTTGTAGGTGGCTCCGGAGGATCAATCTAAAAAAAAAAAAGAGGACTCAATAAAATCATACATGCGTAAAAATATTGTGTAATAAAAATAAATTCCTATACAAGATATCAATTTATTCAGCTTTAGGCTCCGGAATGTTTGAACATATTTTGAAAACTTTAGCCTGTTTAGATACCTGGATATTCAAGAAAGGGTATTGAGTATGAGTTGAACACAAACTAATACATGAACAGATTTTTGGTGAGAAGCATTTCAACTCCCTTAGCGGTTGCAACAGAATTTAGAGAATGAAATTCCCTTACGTTTTCCTGATTTCCTGGATACATTTTGGTAAAATTCACTGACAACTGAAGATATGCCAGGTGCTTAAAAAAACATAATTTGAAATAGTTTTCAGGCGGAATATGTTGTTCAAAACGTCAAACCCATTTTAGAGAGCAAATAAAGGGGACTTGACAATTTTTCCCTGACTTTTTAAAATTCCAAGTTTTCCCGTAATCTCTGACTGTGGCAACCCTGCCCTTAAAGAGCCTGTCAAAAAAGGGCCTTTTCAACTGAGAAGTTTTAGAATATTAGCATTATTCAATTGAAAAAATTGTAAACTTTGCAACTCAGAATTACCAAAACCAGCTTCGGACTTGAGCTAAAATTTTCAGTGAAGGATTGCCTCATCAGAAGATTTGTTTAGATAACATTTGAACAAAATCCCCAAGTTGCCCGAGAAAGGGGCACTTATTTAAAAGGCTCTTTACTTACATTGCCTTTCGAGGGAAATATGGTGTCTTTAAAAAAAATTGATACAACCAGCAATACGGATAATGCTTAAAAATGAGTACTGATAAAGGAGCAGAAGAAAAAAAAATTGGTATGATAGCAAAAAAATTACCTCAGTAATACTCGTTGGTAATGCATCAATACCCAAAACAGGGGCTGGTGGGGGTGGCATTAATTTTTCTGCTGGCACCTGGAACATGATGGTAAGCAAATTAATAAATAAGTAGGATTGAAATTGAAAGTAGACTTGGAGGACCTGTTGCCCTAGCTAATGGCAGAGCTTTTATGCCCTGTGATTTGATCAAAAATATTAAAATTCCACATTTGAGACAGTTTAGGGGAATCTATTTAATGCTGCAATCAAACGCTGAATGTGGCTTGAATGAGGTAGTCATAGGTCTGATGCCTGAATTTTGCGCATGTTGCGCAAAATTCAGCAACGATTCTCAGCGACTCTTGGATAATGTTGGATTTGTCTGAACTATTCGGATAGATTTGATACACATCTGGATGAAAATAACTCAAATTTGCGAAATTTCAGCCGTTGGGCAATGACCGTTGACTTCCACATTCAGCTGCTAAATACAGCGTGTGATTCCGGCATGGAAAGTATTCAAGTTTGAGGGAAAAAAATAGAAGGGAGAGCAGTCTATTGCGATTTTTTTTGGGGGGGCTAATTAATTATATTTGCTCCCTTAATATAGGCACTTTTCAAGAAATATCTAGGGGTGCAAAATAATGCATAATCTTGCAATTCATAGCACAGCAAATATGAGGTAGATATTGGACCAGAAGGCAAATTTCTGTTTTTTTTTTTTTTTTTTTTTTTTTTTTTTTTTTTTTTTTTTTTTAATGTTTTTTTTTACAGAGTCTTCAGGAAACTACTATGAAAAGAGATTTAGAGGCTCTGATACTCGATTGTATACATTGTCTTTGAATTGAATATAATTTCAATTAAAGCATGGAGAAAACTCATTTAATAATGCAAAAATAATCACATTAGGTTTCGATAATCTCACGACAGTTATTTTCAACCAAGAAATGAAAGAAAAGCTTTGGTGCACACACTAAGGATGCAAACGGTTTCTGATTGTATAACAGGCTGGTTGAAACCAAATAGTACACTAGGAATTTTTTTTTTTTTTGGATGAATTTTGTTTCCTGCAAAGATAAAATTTATGAAGACATCACATTGCAACTCGAATAAAAAAATGACAAAATTTCACTTAGCCCATTGTGTTGACCTTATTCTGAAAACTCACCGCTTTCCGGAAAATTATGGAGGTCCCTACAAAATTGTGGCAGCCCCTTGAAAATAACAGATTCTCAAAATCATTTACATTCCCTGTACATTCTTCATTAAGGTGTAGACATAAAACATTTTAAACTTACCGGAAGGGTGACTTGATTAGAATTATTTGTTGAGGTAGTGGTGGTTGCGGCGGCAGCTGCTGCGGCTGCAGCAAGCTGAGCTGCAGATGACCAGTTCTTGAAAGGGTTGATAGCAATCTTGGTAAGCCGCGCTAGTAGAGTTTCACCACCTAAAAAGACAGAATTTTTAAACATTGAAACATCTTTGATGGCTCTGTATTAAGACAAAAGGTAGTATTGGATTTGATTCCGTTCGTTAAAAATGGTTCCTGCGTGAAATTTGTGTACTTTAATTTTACTTGCAAACAACAGGGGTGCAGAAAATCAGGATCAAGGGTCCCACTAGAAAAATCAAGAGTAATTAGGAGAGCCATCCCTCAACCATCCTCCTGACTGCGATCAACATCATTTAATTTTGGGGCAAGCAAATGAATGCTGGTCTGCCAGATTGTTCTAAAAATCAGCCTTTTTCCCCAATTTGAAACCGTGTAAAATATCCAGATTTGATGGCACACCCTGGCAACTTTTTCCTTCTTCATTTTTTCTCTTTTGTCTTTACAAAACTTCATGAATATCTATGGCATTTAAGGAGTTTCATAATAAGAGAGTGAGAGCAATTTCTTTGAACAAATACGAGCCTCGTACTAAGGCCTATAGCATAATATATTGAATCAAATATTTCTCTCCCCATGGTGTTTAGAACAATTATGCAAGATTATATCACAACCACAGTTGCGTTCCACGATTTTGGGGAGGATTCTGTGATTTCTCTGTATACTCGTGAAAATTTCCAAATTCTGATCTTTCAATTTATTTTTTAGGGAAAAGTAACCTGTATCACTCTGAAACTAATTTTAAAAACAGCATGTATACAAAAAAAAAAAAAAAAAAAAAAAAAAAAAACCACAGTAAATTTAATGATTTTAAGCCTTCCAAATTCCGATCGTACTGTGACTCATGGAAGCTGACTTTTTGCAATGGAAGCTCCAATCATCAGTGATTTTAAAAAAAGATGCAAGTTAGAAAAAAAAAATTTAGGGAGGAAATTACATAATTCTATGATAGGAGTCAACAAAACTGTAAGAAAAAAAGAATGATAAGATGGCAGAATGCTCTGACTAATGTGCGAAATGATGAAATGAATGAAAGAAATGACGTTTGCAAGGGAAAATGAACTTACTAATTTTTAGTTTGGTTTGTTCCGCAATGTGCTGAGTGATGGATTTGTAGGCTCGAGCTGCTGTCTGACCATACATTTCTCGCCAAACGAGTTCATCCAAAAATTGTTGAATGATATTTCTTGATAGAAGAGATAGGGTATTCTGTGAATCAAAAATATGATGGGGTTTAGAATAAGATAGGTAAACATATCAAAAACGAGTGTTAGCATTTGCGTCGACATAGATTGGTAGAACACTGTCAAGTGGAACATTCAAGTTTGGAAAGGTTTAAATGATGCCAGAGCCAATGGGTCAGTGACATGAGCAAATTTTATCGTCTGGTGAAAAAGAATTAAATGAGTTCAGTTTAGAATATTTTCCACAATTTGTTTTCAATATGGGTTTATAGATGGTTGCTTGAAACGATGGATCACCTCGTGACAACGCTGGTTAGAGTTTTCCATTTAAACCAGTGTATTTCAACACATCACGGACTTTGTCATAACTCTCTTCATATTGATGGCTAAAGTGCGATGCCATGTATCTCCTCTCCATTACGATGTTTTAAAATCTCTGCTCCTGGTTCATTTTTTCGAATAGGAACAATTAACCTTTTTAGGCTTGAAATTTAAACAGAATATTCTACTGACAGAGAAGAAAAATCAAAGAAATTTTCAAGAAATTACGTTGAATAGTTATCAAAGGAAAAAATGAAGTATGACTGGAAGTCGACAACGGCGCAAACTGCGATACGTGGTCTTGCAATTTAGCGATCAATACATTTCTGATTAAAAAACCAAGAATATTTTCATTCTCGGCTCAGCGGGTGGTTTCAATATTAAAACAAAAAATATCAACATTTCAACCCCTGCCACTGACCCTTTCTGTGAGATCTCACTAACTCAATGATTTTGATTAGGTGGAATTAAGTGATATCTTTTGCCATCATGTTGCGATCTCACTTTGACTCCATGCATCATACAGTGCAACTTTCTGAGCTTACGGTATTTTGTGCACCATATGAAAAAGAAGGAATCGCTATTGGGGTTCAGAATGGGCTGAAATAGTTGTTTTTTAGCACATTTATCTAGAGAGGGATATGCTGACATGAAAGTTTATGCATGCACTGAACTCTGGATGGTATATAAGTGACGACATTAATATCTGTAACCTGCAGCTGAGGAAATGGCTGGGTCTTCTGATAAGGAAACACCACTGCTCTTCATCAACATAAGAACCTGATCATGAGTGTAGATAGGAGATAATTAATTTACCCTCACTTTGAACCATCAATGAATCTCTGAATTAACTTTTACAGCCAAGAAAAACAATAAGCGAGGTTCTTTAGGTAGAGCAAGAGGGGGAAGTTTCACAGTTCATTTTCAGATACATATTTCAAATTCTTGGATACTCGAAAAGGAGAGAAAGTTTAAACAATTGAAAAATTTGCTGTACCAAGAATTAGAGCTAACGGACTTTGTCGTTATTGCTTGGGCAATTATACCTACATCTACAAAAAAATTGAACGGCACATTTGATACTTTATTTTCTTAGCTTACATGATGATGGGTTAATTTTTCCTAATTCATTTTTTCAGTGAAGGATTTACTACAGCTTGACAACTTCATAGACGATTATATCTGAACTTATGAATTCAATTTAATTATTTCTGACAGCATAAGAGTCACACAGAGTATCATGGATAGAGAAGTTGAATGAAAGTTGGCGATTTAGAGCAAAATGCTTCCACATTTGGAAAATTATATGGAAGCTTTATGACAGAATTGAGCTACTAATATGAATATTAAGATAAAAAAAATAAAGCTTCGGAGGTAAATTTTTCATAGAGTAAACCCTGCCACAAGTTTTACTCAAAATGAAAATTACCTCGGTGTATTAAAAAATTACACTGAGGTTCTTTACACCACTTGTCCTTCATGTGTTACTGAATGATGAGAAGGAAAACTACTAAAATATCACACAAGGCTACCAGTCCCAAGACTATCGACGACAAGAGTTACAACTGTTAGAGGCCCTGCCAAATAAGTTAACGCATTTTTAGAATGTGATAGAAGATCTGCCATCTTGAATCTTGCATTTACTTTAAATGTAGAAGTGATGTCAGATGATCCTCTGTCTCAGTCTAGAAAAGCGTAAATATATTTAGCGTCAACTCTTCGAGTTGAAGTCTTGGTTGTTTGAGAAAAATGAATTCTCCTCTACACAGGGTGGATTAAAGTGAATACCTGAAACATCCTGGGCACAATCCGCCTTAGATACTCCATTATGTTGTAGTTGGAAAATTTGTTTGTGGAATTTGCGGAGTCGTTGATGGATACTTGGAAAACTGAGTTGAAACCCATGGAGGTAAGCGTTCCTTTATCGACCGTGAAATCAGTTAATATAACACTGCTTTTGTGCACCCAGGTTTCTAAATGCTCCAAAATCTTGGAAAATCGACGCTTGTAGTTTTTCTCACTATCCTAAAACACAAACGGGCAAACATGTTTCTTAGAATTAAGTAAATAAAGTAAATAATATTGAAAAGGGGCAATTTTTCCCAAAAGGTGCAAACACTCAAAGACTCAGTGAGATTTCAAAAGAGGAATGTTTGCTTATTTTTAATACCACTGGCTGAGGACAAGTTTTTTATTTTGAATATGATTTACAACTTTCCAACCATATTTCATGTTATTTGACTTTTAACACAAGATCATAAACTTTGAAAATGTGGATTGGGAAAAAATTAGTCGCATCAAAAACTATAACTTTCAAATTACCTGATTTTAACAAAAAAGAACAAATTTGTTTCAGGCGCTTAACTGCTCCCATCTTCAGCGGGTGACACCTCAGTCATCACCCGCTAAAGATGGGAGCAGTTAGGCTGCCGAAAATTTTTTTTCCTTTTTGTTAAAATCAGATAATTTGAAAGTTAGAGTTTTTGATACGACTCATTTTTTGCCATATTTCATGTGTTTTCTTGTCTCAATTTTACAATAGCTAATCAATTGAAGAATATCTGGCTCTCTTGCAGACATAATGGCGATAGAGACAGTTTTTGTGGTGAAATAATCAAAGGATGCGACTTGTCTGGTGCTGGCATCTGACACATCTCTAAATCACATTTTATATCGCAGATATTTTAAGGAGCTTTTTTTAAAGCTGAAATTCTATCGGAGGCTGAGATCATTTTTAGGTAATTTTCCAGAAATTTTTAAAAAATAATAAGTTTGTAACGTATGAGCGGGAGAACAGAAGGGCATATTAGTTTGATGCTCTCCGTCTGGCGCTGGCATCAAACTATCATTGAGGCACCATCATTAAAATGCTGAGGATACTGTAAGAAGGAAACCAGTCACAATTTTTCAAAACACTAATACTAGAAATGAAAAAGAATTTATTTTTGTGAAACTTTTGCTTACAGGGGTTGGTTCCACAGCTCGTAAAAATATTTGCTTTGTTTCGGGATCCAGAACACCCAAAACTTCTACTTTCACTTGTCTCAAATGGCCATCGGCAGAGGTTGTTCCTAAACTAATCACTCCAACCTATGAAAGAAAAATTAAACGTTTTTTAACTCAGCAAAAATGAAAGAATAATAACCAGGTAAAATTAAAATGGCAATTTAAGATTATCAGGAGATATAAATCATAAAACTCTCTCAACCACTGCATAATTTTTACAGCTGTTGAGTAATTATAACAAAACTTAAAAAATCCGCTACTTTCAGTCTTTCTGGTTAGCAAAAGCTTGAGATGAGTGATAGTAAGAAGTCTTCAAATATTAAATACAAAAAGTCAAATGCCGGAATCCCAAACTGAATTTAGCAGCTGAATATAGGGGTCAACAGAAATGGCTCGAGAGCTGAAATTTTGTAAATTCGAGTTACTTTCATCCAGATTTGTATCAAATCTATTTGAATAGTTCAGATAAACTGATAACTGCTGAGTTCCGATGATCATTGATGCACTGAACATGCTCAAATCTGAACAGCGCATCGGACCAATGACTTCCACATTCAAGTCACATTCAGTGTGTGATTTCAGGAAAATTAAAAGTTCATTGGTTGATTACAAATTCAAAGATTTGTAGGAATGAAGAATAACCTTCATAAGGCTAAGGAGATAAACATCCAAAAGTACTTACCTCAATCCTTTTGCGGGGTCCACCAATTTTTGTAAGCTTATCATGAAGAGCAGCCGTACAAACCGCACGCATGTGAGTATAGAAGTTTTTGACATACAGATTATCTACTTTCACCCATTGCACAACATTAGAAACACTTGTTTGACAAGCCCAGTGATAAATTAATTTCAGGGTTATGGTAGGAGTTGATGAACTTTCAAAGAGAGAGTCGCTGAACACCTGGAAATAAAGAGAAGTAATTACAGGAAGCAATCCAAATTTTGTAGAAATCTAATAACCAACTGAGTTTAGCACTAGACATTTAGGCAAAGGATTAAAACTCAAAGAGTTTGACAGTTAAAAGTCCTTCAACAAATGTACTTTTGTTGTTGACTGGAGTTCAATTTTTTTCTTTGATCATGCACGCTCATGTACTACTTTTTGGGGGATTTTGGAAAATCTCCAACTAATAGCTTATTATGATTGCCTTTCATAACTAAAATTTTGTCATACAAAAAAAGTACTAATGAACAAAGGATAAAAAAAATAAGCCACAATGGACCACTAGACAAGGTACGAATTTCAGCATTCTGATACGTGTTTCTTAACCAAAATTTCACGTAGAACACGATGCGCACAACAAAAATTACCGAAATCAACTCCTTACAAAGATATTTAATGATTCCTGAAGTGTGAATTTAAACTACCCGCTCATTAAAACTCAATGCTCTACATGATTTACATCGTGCGCTAAATGTATCATGAGTCTCTGCGATATAAAAATCCGGCAACCTCAATCTTGACGCTTTGGCTCAGCTGTAGCAAATTGTTTATAGTTTGAACAACACATGGTGGGAAATGAACATCACTCGATTGAGGAGCTTGTTGAAACCGTTGTAGTGCGCGATTTGACGCACGTAGAGCTTTGAGTTTCTTGTCAGCGGGCAGTTCAAATTCTTCGTAACTAATGTGAAATAAAATTGTTAATATCTCCGTTAGGAGTTGGTTTCAGTGATTTACGTTGCACGAATCGTGCTCTACGTGAAATTCTGGTTAAGAAATATGTATCAGAATCCTTAAATTCGTACTTTGTCTAGTGGTCCATTTCTTGTGTGCAGCTTTTTCTAATGTATTATCAGAGTGACAAGTTTCCTTAGATCAAAGTTCTATGACTTTTCAGGGTTTTTGAACATGAAATTTCCTGAATTTTCGATGTATTTTTTCAAATGATTTCTCATGAAAATGCATTTAACAGCAAATATACGGTGCAAGTTTTCTTAAACTTAAAAAATTCAAAACTCTAAAACTTAAAGTAGAAATTCTAATTCCCATAAAAAAAGGCACGTGGAAGTGGCAGGTAATAACTAATTCTTTTCAATGAAAAAAGAATTTAAAAATTCTGCTTGCTGATAAATGCCCTGGCTTTGCAAGTTAGGCAAAATTCCAACGTTTTATCAGGTTTTCAATAACTCTTCAAGAACTTATCATCCTGCATATACACCCTCCTCATTGAGGTCATTAAAAAAATTGAAAAATTAACTATCTCCCCCAATAGTTTTCAAGAATTTTGTATTTGAGGGCTGTTCACTTATTCATGCAACAAAGGGTCAGTAATCAAAACACATGAAAAGAAAGGAGAGCGGCTGGAACAGTCAGCTGCAAGTAGCAATAATACAGCGACTAGGGCTGTGCGAATATTCGCAAATTCCGACTATTCGCGCCGCAAATATTCGACGAATATTCGCTTCGTCTGCCTCGCGCACTATTCGCAAATTGCGAATAATCGCGCCGTCGCGAATAGTGAATTTTTGAACTGACATTTTCAAATATTCGCGCCGTCACGAGGAACGAGTTTTCAAATATTCGCGCCATCAAAAACGACGAATTTCCGAATGGCAATCGCGAAACATTGTGAGGACCTGCGCAAGGCTTCCGCTGCCATCCGAGACATCGCGAACAGCGAATCTCCTTTGATCTTAACCAACTTTGCCGAATTTACGAACAGCGAGCGCAATTGCGACCGGCCCGCATATCTTGGTTGCTCCAAGAGTACCTTCTGTAATATTTGCGAATTTTCACACTTAAAAAAGTCATTTCAAATTATTCGTTTTACTATTTGTAGCTGTGAATAATTGACTTAAATTATTCGCTATTCGCAAATAGTTGCCGAAATTATTCGCTATTTGCTTCGTTTGGAAAATTTACTATTCGCACAGCCCTAACAGCGACCACATTTTGCCATTAGGAACTGAAATTTCTGGCTCAGTTTAGAAACAATATAAGTGTAATTAATTTTCATATGCACATAGGTGTTTTCACGGATGAGCCTGATATTGTAGTTTCTATTTGCAAAATGTAGTCCAATTTATCTTGTTTACAATGCTAAGCTACTGGTACCATGTCCTCCTAAAAGACAATAATTGAGGATCTTGACCAAAAAATATTATTACTTGAGAAGAATTTGATGGTTGGAATAGTACTTACAGATACAAATTTTGCTGGACAACAGTCACTAATCCAAACGTAGCCACCACTGAATGGAAATTTTGATGCATCGGAGTACATACCAAGTTTTAACTTGACAGGACTCATGTCAGGATAAACATGAACTGAACAATGCTGTTCACTACTGATGAGACCCTGCTGGATCAACCATTCGCAAAATTTGGGCGCAGGGCACATGAGAACATTTTTGACATCAGCATCTGCAAGTAAAATGATGTATTTTAAAATGAATGCATCAAACGCTTAGAGACCATCCACTTATCTAACAATGTTGAGGAGTTGATTCATTGACTACCATGTGGATTATTCATATGTTAAAAAATTCTAGTTCTAAGATTTGGGATTAATTTTCTCACTAGATGATCATTTTCTCATACGGGGGTGCGGAAACTTCCCAATCACAGCTGGTCGCTTAGAGTGGGAAGACCCTTAAAAGAATTGGAAAAAACCTCCAAGAAAACAGGGAAAAGGAATTTCCTGTGAAGTTAGGACAAAACAGGGAAGGCTTATCAGATTGTTTCACAAATAAGGTGTTTTAGCAGTGAAAAAAGCAGATTTTGTGAGTAAAGTTTTTTCTTTTTGTTTTCAAGGAAATCATCATAGATTTTGCTTACAAAATGAGGAAGGTTAACTGGTTTCGGAGGAAGGCTTGAAACTTTCTGCACCTCTGTCCTTACAGGTCGCACTCCTGGTCGACGAACTTGAAAGAAGTGAGGCCAACCTGATTTTATATTGTAGAGTCGTTTTTCCTACAACTGAGGTAATTTGGTTTTGCTGTGTCCACGAATTTTAATTTAGCTAATATTTTTTTTATTGAATCCAGCTTATTTCACATTTTTTCAAACTATATAGAACATTAATGAGCAATAAAAACTTCTCCGCAGCTGTTGTTAAGTTTTGAGTATGAAGAGCGCTGCGAATTGCATTAAGGATCACTGTGTCATATAATATTTCAGAATTTCACACACATACGTTTTGACATTGTTAGGGTATGATTCAATTCAAAACTTAAAGAAAACTTCTTTTTTATGGGTGGATGAAGAAAAAAAAAATACATACGAGGAATTATTAGAAGCTTAATGCTCCCTAAATCTTACCAAGAGCTTTCCTCTCCTGAGTAACAACAGACGGAGGAAATTCTTTGCTCCTAAGGTTTGGCCTTGCGACCACTACTAACGAAGGGAAAGTTTTGCCAGAGACTTTGTTGAATACCATTTCTCGGGAGTCTGGCTCTTGATTTTGTGATTTGCCATCATCACTGGTGAGGTCCACAACACCGTCTAAAACAAACGGATACAAATAGATTAAAGAAGGAATATTTTTAAAAGTAAATTATTCAATTTACTGTTCCTGATCAGTTGTCATTATTGGAGACAGCATTATCAGTATTTTCACCTCGAGAGAATGCGGCCAGAGATGGAAAATTTCATGAAATTTATTCGAGTGAAATTTCGTAAAATTTCATGAAATTTCATGAAATTTATTCGAGTAAAATTTCATAAAATTTCATGAAATTTCACAAAATTTCATGAAATTCATTGAAACTTTTGGGGATACCTTTAAGAGGCTAAGAAATGCCTGGAAATAGTGATTCTAAATTTTGAAATTTTTCACCCCAAGCCTAAAAAATTTGCGCGTTGCAAATTTTTTCGTTTAGTTTAGAGGTTAGGTTGGGGATCTTCTCTCTAAACTCCCCTTTTTGCCCCCGCTTTGTCTCTGGCACCTTCAGTAGAGTAGCATAATACCGCACCATCAACTGAAAGACCATCTGAAACGCTTTCTGACCTCCAAGGTTTAATCAACAATACTAAAAAAAATTAATAAATTTCAACTTTTGTGAAAGGACGACGGACCGGTCTTATGGGAAAAGTGGGCCCGGTTAAATCGGCTGGCGTTTTGATATGTTGTAGGTCTTAACCTACTGATCAAAAGTGTCAATGGGCATTTCTCTCTATCTCAAAGTTTTACCCCCCATTTTGGGGGTCAAAGTTGCCGATTCGGCGTATAATTGGCAGTTTTGACACCCGGGTTTATTGGTCGCCTATGAGATTCTTTGATGGTTTCTTGAGTCTTTTGTATCCTCTGAATAGGCTAGAGACCATCCGAACTCAAAAACTGACAATTTTGCCTTATGGGTAGGGGGGGGGGTGTTCACGCCACCGATTTCAGAGTNTTAAGACCTACAACATATCAAAACGCCAGCCGATTTAACCGGGCCCACTTTTCCCATAAGACCGGTCCGTCGTCCTTTATTCGAGCCTTTTAAAATTTCACTTTCCATCTCTGAGTGCGGCTAATGGAGGAGCTTTAACTTCCTCACTCGGAAATATGAGAGTTGAAAAGAGAATGACTTCAAGACCAATCAGAAAAAACTGTACAGAATTATTTCAAAACCTGAACTTACCCTGTTGTTTTCGACTTTTGGGCCCAGTTACCGAGGAGACAGTATTAGTGGGTGCTGGAACAGATTGCGGTTTTGTTTTGAATTTCACCTTTTCGTTTGCTTGAACTAAAAATTGAAAGAAACAAAGATTTGTGGTTGAAATAGTAAATGAATACATAAACAAGCGAGAAAAGTCCATCAAACATGGAACTATGAAAAACTGAACAGTTAGAGAGTCCAACCAGGTAGGACACATTGAAAATTTGATTGAGATGAAATGACCCTGCATGGTATTTTCATAGGTAATAGAAATCAATGTAGATTTTCTCAAAGCTTTCCAACATTGTGAAATTAGCGGAAAAATTACACAGACAAGGAATAACACAAAACAGGGTCATTTTCGTTGCAACATCACTACTTTCTTCTGCTTAAAAAAAGTTAGACTACATTCTACAATAGAAGTACTGACGGTTCTACTACTTATGCTGCAATCACACGCTGCATGTGGGAGCTGAATGTGGCTTGAATGTGGAAGTCATTGGCCCGATGCCTGAAATTCAGCAACAATTCTCAGTGACCATTAGATAATGTCGAATGTGTCTGAACTATTTTAATAGATTTGACACACATCTGGATGAAAATAACTCGAATTTGCGAAATTTCAGCTGTTCATTGATGACTGTTAACTTCCATACTCAGCTGCCAAATTCACATATGATTCCGGCATGAGTGGGCTTCAACTCAGACACAGAATAAAATATTTTGGGCTGTCAACAAGTTGAAATTCTATGAAATTCTAGATAAAAGGTAGCAAAAAAAGTATGGAATTACCAAGAGGTGATGGAGTTTGTGGTGTGTTAGGACTTGTCAATGATTTCATCAGAATGTTAGACCTGATTTGATTAACAGGAGGTGAAGGAGTCGATGTAATCAAGGGTCTTGCAGGCTGACGACCCACTAATGATCTACTTTGTAAGCTAATGGGAGTGGACACATTTGAAACCTGGAAAATAAAAAAAATTTATATTTTTTCATATTGAAAGACAAAATCTTGATGAAAGGTATAAAATTTGGAAAATATAAGGGCACAGATCAGTAGAAGGACGGCAAATTACTCTCCTTGAATTTTCAAAGATTAGGTATTTGTGAAGATGAATAAATAATTACTCAGCGTACTTACATTGATTATTTATTTATTTTTTGCAAACTGAATTTTTCTGAGATTAATGTCACTTTTGGTGAAATCCCACTCTTAAAGAAAACAAAATCGACCGCCTTTGGGCTTTGTTACATGCAGGTTCACCTGTGCATATAACAATATTAGTAAAAAGCTATGAAAAATTCATTTCCTCGTAAAGAAAGTATTGAGGATGATATTTCATAAAATTTTACTGTGTTATTAACATTTCCCAGAAGAAGAACAAAGTAAAAAACAAATCGTGTGAACACTTACATTTATAACCGGCTGCCTGGGAGCTGGGCTGCTGCCTGTAACACAAAAACAATAAGGCTCAGAATTTTCAGTAAGAAGAGCGAGCGAAGAGTTCATAAAATTATAATGTTAAAAATAATAGTAAAAGTTTCCATATGGATCAAAATCAAATCATTACGAACAATAAAAGGCATTTTTATTGCAGGGGACGGATACAAAAATTTGAATGACCACCACAAGGTTCGCATTTTTTCCCCTACTCTGAATATCTGATCCTGATTTTTTATTGTTTTCCCAAAAACAGTGAATTTTAAAGGGAATTCATGCTAGTACAAATATTAGAAGGATAGATAAATGTTTGATCTTACCTGCAGTAGGTGAAACTAAGACATTTACAGGCTGATTCACAAGAAACTGATAGCCGGCTGGAGAGGGCTGCTTCAAAGCAGATTGAGGCCGTACCTACAATCAAAAGAAATTATTATTGTAAGCCACGTTTAAAAATAACTTTCTTCCAATAACAGATTCAGATTCTTGCCAACTTGCACCGAAGTTTGATGGTGAATCAATGGCCTGCCTTGAAACCTTGCTTCTCACCTGCACATTACCTGGCTGTTTTTTAAATCCACAGGTGTGGCAAACTGCAGTTGGCTTCGCCTGTTTTCGTCTTGCTCATGGGCTTAAAGGGCAACTAGGTAATATACGATTGAGAGATAAGATTTCAGCGCAGGCCACTGTGGTGACTGAAACAGTTGCTGGCACATATTAATTTTTATTACAAATGGCCCAGCCTGATCAATCAAAGAAAATGATTCATTATTCTGGCTATTTCACCTTTAGAAAGTATTATTGTATGTGACCTGGTTAAGTTCCGTAAGGTTCTCATCTCCGTAAGCTTCCTAAAAAACCGTTAACTGTATATTCAGAGTTTATCAATCATAAGAAGACTGAGCTCTAAAGAATGATCCATTTATTGATCAGTGGCCAGAAGAAAATAAAATTAAAATGCAAAAATCAATTCCAAGATCAGAATTGCATTTCCTTGCATGAGCAATTCACACATAATTTAGAACAAAACTGCCTTAAATTATCAAGCTAGACTTGCGTAAGGACATTCTGAAGTATTAAGTTACAGAATGCACCTATAAAGATATGGTTCTTAAAGGTTTTCATCTGCTACAACATACAGGCTTCAGAAATGTCACATAATAATGAAACATCAGTGATATTGGCTTGTGTTTTCTAACAAAGATGGTTTTCAAAGTTTTCTGTAGGATTAAGATCTTAAGATCAACCAAACTTCATAAAATTCAATTTAGGTACTGAAAATTTTTCCTCAAGCAGGAAGACATGAATGAAATGAACGAACAGTCAATATGCTCACTGAGCAGGCATCAGGACCAGGGTTTTCAGCTCAATAAGCAGATAATTCTTAAACAGATAAAGTTATTTCTGTGCCAGAACAAAATCACTTTTGGTAACCTGCAGCTTTTGACCTATGCTCCTATTAACTTTGTCTCATTCATTCACTTTATTAAAATCTTTGGTGATGGAACATGTAACCATGAGGTTGCAGTATGGAGTCATGTTACCAATCAATTGACCTTCCATTGACCCACGTATCTTTCTTGCTTTTGGTCTTTGTACTGTGTGAATATTTTCTTGGGAAAAAATTTATATTAGATAGTATGATAAATTTATATTGGAAACATCTTGATTAGAGGTACAGAGGGGCCTTGAAAGTTCAACATGGAGGACTCATGACAATTGGTGACTTACATTAACTAGCGGTGTTGATGCTGCAACTGGCGAAACTTTCTGATTGGTTATCACAGTAATAGGTGACGGAGGATTTGCAGGGACAGGGCTGAGACTGAAACATATAGAAATGTAGCACAATGAAAAAAAGTGTAAAATTAACAAAAAGGACTAGAATAGGTATTCGCACTGAGCCATTTTCCTTTGGGGAAGGAGATACTTTGGGGAAGGAGATACATTGCAGAGAAAAGAGAAATGGTGCAGTACCGGACAGGCCCAAAAACATGAAGAAAATTCACTACAAATTCCTAAGGAAAAATTTGCAACCGCTCTTGAGTAAATTAATAGATCATCGAGTGAAACATTGCACGTGGCAATGCAATTGGGCTCCTCTGATTTGTACTCCTTCATTTCACACCTGATACTACCAGAGGCTGCAATACACAGAAAAAAAAGGCCCAACTCAGGGCCCCTATGAGAAAATTGTGACTGAGCTAAAGTATAGTGTGGGAAATACTTAAGAAAATGTAGAATTTTTGATAAAATTGTGTCCAAATTGAGATACCTAAAATAGGAATACTATTTTTTGGGAAATATTATGTTTTAGTTGAAGATTTAAATCTGAAACTTTGAGTTACTTAAAAAGTGAAGTGTTGGAAATCTAGAGAATGATCTGATATATGCAGTCTAACTCAGACTTCACAGCAGTGTTATTTGATAAGTTATGTACAAATATTGCGTATCTCCAGGCGTTTACTTTCAAATTTATCTCAAATTTCCTAAATTTATAAATAAAAATCCTTACGTTTTCCAAACTAGGTACTGTGCCAGTTTTTAAAAATCCATCTTTTTCCCGTACAATTAGCACCCTGTAATATCATATTAAAATGTGTTGGAAAGGCAGGAGATCTTATTCCACTGAAATGAACTTAGAGTGCATTAAGAATTAAGAGAAAACCACTTACTTTAGAAGAGCCTTAAGCTGACAAATAGTCGTATCTCCTTTTTCAAAAACTTCTCCATCAAATTTAGCAACCAAAGCATTTAGTGTGTTACATGCATCATTAAATTCATTTGTAACTTTGTTGATACGATCCTGCTGTGCTGCGCTGAGTTCTTCCTCGAAACACTCAAGGTGTAATGGACAACTGCCACTTTTCTTATGTCCCTTCTTGGAAACCATTTCGGAAGAGCTACTCACGCTAAGATGGAACAAACAGAATGAAACATTAATAAGTACATAGCATACTCAGGCAAATGAACCACATGAGTGAAAAAATCTCGCTTAAAAGTTAATGATATCACAGCCTCAAACTCAGCCATCATAAAATTACATATATTGTGTTTTCAGCAAGTTGAAGTTGGAGTTGAGTTGAAAGAGCTTTAGTTCAAAAATTTCTCTACTCGCCTGGTACAGGATATTGCAGAGATTACCAGCAGCCTGATTGTTGAAATTTTTTGTTTGTCAGGACGAAATAGATGACAAAGGTTAAAAGGCGGAGCGTGATTGGTCAGCTATGTCTTATCGCTGCTTTGTCGGGTGGAATGGACGACATACTGTCGGAAACTTATGAGGCGCCGTTAGCTTGTCGCGAGTTCAACCCGACATAGGCACGACAAAGCAGTGATAAGACATAGCCGACCGATCATGCTCTGCCTTTTAACCTATGTCATCTATGTTACCCCGACAAACAAAAGATTTTAACAATCAGGCTGCAGGGGATTCTCCCCCGGTTGAATAAATTTTTCTTCAAGTACATATCTTTTTATTTAATTTTACTCTTCACAACCTTTCAAGCACTGAGAAGTTCTAAGATATGAACTTTCTAAACACCAAATTTGAGATATTGGGGGTGGGAGGAGGATTTTACCCATTGACTTGCATTCACATTTGATCTATGGCATCACTAAGAGTTAGATTTTTGCACAAGCCTTCCTTTACAAATCAACGCTGCAACATTTTGACTTTTATGTACATATGTAAAATTGCTGAAATATTACATTTTTTTAAGTCCCATTATCAGTGTTCAAATCCAACAGACTCCATGCGCAAAATGCATCTAAATATTTCTTATTGTTACCTGAATAATTGACATTAAGGTCAAAGTTTGCATTCATTATTTAAATTAATGAAGAACTACTCTTAAATACTAAAGAAGACCCATTATAACAAAATGAAGCAGCAGAAATGATAGATAATACCGATACAATGACAATTCAATGGAGAATATAGTATACTACTTCAAGGAGGAATAAATTTTGGCTAGGTAATGATAAAAAGGGGGAGATATTGAATGAAATGGAGCTCTTACATGCCTCGGAGATTAGCGATTCAAGTACTTTCTCGGACGTAAAATTTTAGAGGAACTTGATGGTGCTACTGGTTTTCTTTGAAACAAACTCCCAAGCTCAAAAAAATTCTCAAAGTTAAGGCTGGAAAGGATCCTCTTCCCAACACTATAAGTGCACCTCTGTATGCAGTCAATCTCTCCATGCACAGATAGGGAGCGAATACATTAGCAGGGTTTCCATGGTTCCAGCCTTGGCGTCCCCGAATAAAATAGCAACCCTGCTTATTTATTGGCTCCCTATCTGTGCATAAAGAGTTTGATTGGATATAGAGGTGGACTCTCAGCGAAGCAAAGGGGAACTCATCCATTAAGGCCTCAAATTACAGAGCGTTTGAATAGGGTCTGAAAAGTAAACAGACCTATTTTTACGGAGGAACTGACAAACTTGAGGAATAGAACATCTCAAATGAGAGCCAAACAAAATAATGAAGCTTTTATCCATAAGACTCAATTATATATCCAAGATAGGAAGGTTCATGAGGTAGGATAAGTAATACATGCATATTTTTTGGGCTTGAATCATACAAATTGGACTATTAGCAACCCTGATTATTACAAAATAACCACTCATTTTTAATGTAGGTTTTAAAAATTCAGTTTTGGGTAAGATTTTGGTTTAAATACTGTTGAGCTGCTCAAAAATTTATTGCTATCATTTCTGTGATAATTCTGTTTTAGCAGTCATTTCTCTCACACCGATAATGAGAATAGAGGAGAAAGTACCAAGCCATAGAAACACCCAAAATGCAGTAAGATCTTCAGTGGATAGAAAAGCATTTATGAGCTAAAAATTAGAAAAGTATTCATAATTACTTTTTGTCAGATTTCACGTCTCTTCTTGTAGACTTTCTCTTTGATCTTGTAGATTCTGAACTGGCATTAGGGATTTTGTCGCTAGATGTATCACTATCAATGCGTTCAGGTGTAGACAACGAAGTAGAGTCTTCAGTGTGAACTGAGTCTAGGTCAATCTCAATATTACTCCTATCCCAGTCTTTCTTCGAAAGGGAATTTTTCAATTCAGCCTTTTTGATCGTCTCATTGATATTTTTATCATCAAAGTTTTGGATGGCTTTCCTCCCATCAAGAAAGATGGCATCATAATGACCTTTATCACCTTCTCCAGTGTAGAGAAGATCGATTTGTTTTTTCTCCACCAAGTTGGAGCGCCCAAGAACAATGACTTTGGATGTTTTTGAATTATAAACTTTGATCAAAACATCGAAAATTCGGGTGGCAACATTTAACTCAAGATGACCACCTTCTGCTCCATTCTTGGACATATGACTTTTGTAATCATTTGCGGAATTGATAGGATGCCCATACGATTTATCTCCAATGATGTAACTACTATAGTGCGACCAATTCTGCACAACATTTGAAACTATCAGATTGCGGAGAGTTGTGTGCTGCTCCTGCGAACCATAGATGCACAATGACAGAGCTCGGAACAAGCAGTTTCCATCACCAGCTATTTTCCGAATGGTAGCTCCGGGCGGTAGACCTTTGTGCGCAGCACCAACTTGTCTTGTAGAGGTCAACATGGGAAACGAATCGCCTGACGATATTATCATAATCCTTCATAACTCTAGTTAAGATAGAGGTGACGCTTGAAACAATAATTAACAGTAGAATCAGGAAAAAAACGGAGATGAGATTAATAGTGTGAAAATCATACACAGTTACGGTGATTTTTAGTCTGCCATCTTAACAGGTGCTATTTGGTTTCACTTTTCCCCACCAGAGAATCAACCGAATATGAGTCCGATGAATGTCTGTCCAACTGACTGATCAAGAAAGTTCAACGGGAAGTTCATGGACGTATATTCCAGTACCTGAAAAAATCAAACAAAAAAAATGGGCATGATATACGTAAACTAGGCATTAATTTCACAAGACTCGCCACGATAGTGTTTTCTTCTTGTTTGTGCATGGAGGTCATTCATTAGAATTCACTGTTTGCAATAGTTTCAACAGAGGATAAGAATAAGTACTCATTTTCACAGATTTACGCTTCCGTCTCCAAATTTTACATGCAGCGGGTATAAAGAGGCGCTCATGATAACTTTGTATATTGAAGAGGAAATTATAGGGACCTCGATTTTAATAGTTTTTCTAAATTTATGCTGCTATAATACTGTCACACTGTGGATCTGTGCCTTAATAAGGCTCTGTCATGCCCACTGGTGGCAAACAGTGCCTCTGCTATCATTTCATCTCCTATAACAGTGCAAGCCACTTAAATGCAATGCACTGCTGCAGACTTTTGAGGGCTTTAACTAAGTAATAGGACCTCTTATGAAAAGTTTAAAGGATGTACAAGTTAGGTTTTACGTAAATTATAGCCAATACATTTTAGAGTTACGCAAATCCTGGACTTCAGTAATTGAGAAAATTTATGATTCACACCTAATTTAACAAAAATTGGCAGCCAATAATTCTTGGGAACTGATCTGTACAAACCAAAGTGTTAATGCACAAAAAATTTTGAGAAAGTCCAAAGTAATCGGTTGATGAAAAGCTTTGTCACTTCATTTTATCACGGTTTGAAATTTACAGAATCAATTCAGAACTCGCAATAGATAAGTTAGCAATTTTGTCCATTGAATGTCATGCACAGTCAGTCAATTCACATGACTGCGCACAGTAATGTCCTAAATGGTTGCGACTGACAGGCAGAAGTGCAGTCGTCTGCAGACGGAAAATAAACAACTTCCGACTTATATGCAGCAGGCTTGCTCTACTTACAGTGTGTGTAAAATCCATTATAAGAGACCAATACTCCACGGTGACAAATGAGTGGGTACTATGGCAAAGAATTTTACCTGAAGAAAGGATGAAATAGAAAACTTCATAAACTTGATACCTTCCACTATCCTCATTGTGTGCAGTCAAAACAATTCATCTTTTGACGAAGTGTCTAACTTCAGAGTGAATGAAATTGAAAGAAAAATGTGATAAGGAATAATGGGTGGTGGCATTCTGTTAGCACTAACACTGAAGATTGATTCAGCGAGAGAAAGAAACTATAGATTAAACTTCATTTTTGTGACAACCTCGAAGTTCACACGGGAAATAAACACAGAGTGAAAAGCTAGGGAGCCCTAACCTACATTAGAGGTTAGGTAAGTGCATAGGTTCAAAATGAACCGGAAAGAAAAATAAAGAGACACGAAGGGGAGAGAAAAAGTAAAATAGATCAATGCAAAACTTGAAATTAAGTACGAAAAAAAGAAGCGGGTAAATTTTAGGATCGGAAGGAAATTAAAAAATAAAAAAAAATCAGGCAGTGCTGGTGATATGCTTACTTTGGCTCCAAATATCGGCGGCAGCAGCGAATTTTTTTTCACTACAACGATAGTTAGGGTAAGATTAAAACACAATAAGGAACCAATCAAAACGGAGAATTTGTTAGAATAGCTGGTTACTTCGATAGATCACTGTTGGATAAATTGTTTTAAAAATAAAGTGGACAAGACGGTTTCAGGTGCTGCTAGGCAACTCGGCAAAATGGCGGGAGTAGAGCGGAAGAAACGTTATCAGAAGATTTCTCTGGAAAGCCGCGCCGCGCCTGAAATAGACAACCAAACTTCACGTCTCACGGCGACTTAATTGTAATTGAAGATCGTTGAATGCCGCTATACAAGAGAATTTATAGGCGTCAAATAGCAAGGCAAAATTCGAACTGGTTACATTCGTAAAGCCGCAAACAAACACGAAATGATAATTGCTGAACCAGAAAGAGAAACAGGCAGCGGATATACGGAATTTCACTGACGTCAGCGCTCCTGCAATGAATGAACTGCGCATGCGCAACCCCCACCATTTACTAGGGTCCTCCCACTGCCTCACCAAAGCTCTCATTTGATTGGTTCTTGAAAAAATGAGGAGGCATTCGCGCATGCGCAGATCTTAGGATATAAATCAGGGGCATTTTGCAAAAACCACTGAAAGCACATTTTTTTTTCATTTTTTTTTTCTTTTTTTTTTTTGGTGCCTGGCGCGACTACATTATCTCCATTTAATGGAAAAAACATGGGAGTCGCTTGAAGATTACGGGTCCTCACCATTCACTCAATCATTCGGGATGTGTGATGGCACACTTCATAAGAATGTTCGATCAGTCTCCCCCTCCCCCCCCCCTCCCAGTTGCTGAATTGGATTCTGCTGAAGGCAAGGGATGAAGGAGGGGGGAGGGGGCTCTGTTAGAACGAAAAGATAAACCCATAGATAGCGCTGACTCTAAATTGAAGGACGGATCTCGAAGGTAGCTCGCGATCAATGATGATGAAGAAATTAGGGGGAGGGGGATTGCCCCAAAAAACCCTCTACTTGGAGGGGAGGAGGGTTCCTTTCCCCCCTCCCCCCCCATTCACTGCAGAAAACCGGGCCTTCAACCCTCGAGGTCCTTACTACATAGTCATGAAGAAATTATACGTAAGGAAAGGTTTTGATTATGAAGGGTTGTTTCATGTGTGGAGTGTGACATTATCGATTTGATGGCTCCATTTAATGTTGGGACACGCCCAACTTTTGAGTTGAATTTTGGTAAGAAAAAACGCATCGTGAGTATGAGGCGGTATGTGACCACCTCCGGTCAGATGAATAAGCCTTTTTAAAACTGGAGCTCGGTGCGACTTTCGGATAAGACGAAATATACGCCATTTTGGAAATCACATTTCAATTTCTTATTAGTATAATTAGGGAGGCTTATTTTTCGTCGCGCTCAAAATGTCCGTCAACTATTTTGGGGTGAAGAACAACCTTATCGTAAACTTGCGTAACTATTTTATTTTTACGCAAGGAAAAAGTCCGAACGATGAAAGGTTAATAATTTAAAAAAAATGAAGAATTTTAAACCATCATTATTTCTTCCCACGAAAAGGAATTTGGACAAAATAAAAAAACCTATCAATGTTTGGAGATATTATATTTCAGCACACGTGTTGAATTCCTGTTGGCTCATGTTATACGAAGAGCAACGGTGCTACGACAAAATGTGCTTGCCTAGTGCGCAGTAACACAGCGCCCCACCGACGATCTCCCCCTCCCCGTTCCTACAACTCTCTAGAATACACGGACCCTTTACCCTCCTCTTCCCGCCAGCCTAGCGACTTACAGGTGACCTTGAGTTCTGAGCATGATGGCGCTGGCATGTTTGTTCATTGCGCCGACAGAGAGCGCCAACGGACAAATGAATCTCACCGCTTCTAACTGCATCATTGTCAGACTTACGAATATTCATAACAATGTCGACCACGAGATCTCATTCGTGACAAAATTGCGATAGAATGTTATATTTGGCAACATTACGTTTCCCTGCAAAACCGTGCGGCGAACTGTTGCCAAATAGGCAGAATGTACTGTACATTACCTGATTAATGAAAAATTTTGAAAACTGAGAACTTATTGTTTCGAGCTGACCTTTCGTATTAATTCGAGATCCACAAAGACTAAACTGACTCAAATTAAATCTTCTAATGATGCTTGAGGTAACTACTCTTGCCTTAAAATTGAGCCGCATGTAACTGCGATCTGGCAGCATGGCATTTTTCCCCATCGCGATTCATTCCAAATGTTGCCAAGTTCACTCCCTTTCCCTTTCTATTCGAGAAAGTAATCAGGGGAAAAATGCCAAACTTAGACAACTCACTTGGATTTGACATAATAGAATTAATTAAATGGTACCTATTAATAAATTCAAATTTTCTTTTTGATTTCTGCAGCTCAATACAATGATTGTGTGGAAAGTTTGTTCCCTATTTTTTACCCTTGTTTAAAAAAGGAATATTTTTAAGAAAAAATTATCACCAGAACTGGTTCACCAAAATTGAGTGAAACAGAAAAATCTGGTGATAACTCAGGTATATTCCAATATAGAGAAAATTAGTATAAAAACCTACCCAAGGAGAAGCAGAAAAAATTGATATTCCATCAATTTCATGATACTTAAGCTCTACGCCTACTAAAGCATAAGCTTTACATTAAGTTTTATAGGAAATTTATTTAGTGTTTTCTAGTTTTATTGTCTTTACAATAATATATATAATTGATGAAAATTTTGACAGTTAAATGGAAAAATGGGTATGGGTTGCATAAAAGTTGGCCCATTAGGTACTGACACAGATTGGTCTGGATGAAAATGAAAGAGGGAAAATAAAGAAACAATTCATTAAAAAAATTGAATGATGGGACATTTTATAACTTTATTTCCTCAAGTGTATTTTGACCAGCTTTTACTAGACGGAATGAAGCAATGAAAACTTCTGCGTCTTTAGAATGAATTTCATTTTTGAGGAGAAACTAGCAATGCTGACCCAAATACACTCTTCAAACTTGTTAGGCTTAACTCTATCCATGGTCAAAGTGTAAAATCACGTACCTATGTTAGTGACGATACAGACTTCCTATCACTCTTCATTTTTTCTTTGGAAAACTAGTCAATGTAACGTACTGAAAACCTCCTTAACTGTTCTTCCCTGTTAGCAGATAATTCTGTATATTCTTCAAGCTATAAGGTTGGCCTGTTTCTCTTTGAAAAAATAAAACATGAGCGGGAATTTTGAACCATCGCAATAAAGATCTGTGGTTTTGCACTTTGGCCACTGATAAGTAAAATCAAATTACATGAAATGAATCTTCCAATTCTGAGAAGAAATTGAAAAACATATCTTTTTTATTAATTCAGTCATTTTTTTTTTACAAAACATAACAAAATTATGTACTTACAGCTATACATATTCTATTTATGTACACGTTATATACACCCTGAGAACAAGCGGTCGATAGTTAAGATTCTGTATCTTGTTTTTCTTCTTGTTTCTTCTTCCATAATTTAGCACTGGCCAGAAGTTTCAGATTTGGTTTAGTTGCCTCATCCTCAGGGAAAATATAGTCAAATATTTCTTCCCATCCTTCGTCTCTCTGTAAAAAGGAAAAAAAAACACAGATTCATTGTTAGTTATTCGATGATAAGAAACAGAAACTCATTCAAAGAAGCTTTCATTGCATCCTTAAAAAAAGGTACAGATTGACTTTCAGGGTTGCCTTAATTTCTTTATCTTCAAATTCCCTGACTTTCCCTGACTATTTTTGCTCAACTCTGACTTTAAATTGTCTAATTTCCTGACTCCTCGACTTTCGAAAAAAATTTCCATGTTCTTTTTTATCTCTTAAAATACACTATCTTCCCCTGAACTTTGGACAAAATTTCTTTGTTTAAAGCTGAAATGATAGATAAAGGCATTCAGTAGCAGGTTAAAAGATGACAAGCCTCAAAATGACCGAGAGGGTAAACAGTTGGAAGATCAGTAATGTTTTAGTGATTAGTAGATGTGCCAGAAATTCAATAACTTTTCCCAGTCGTCACCGATTCCCTGACTTTCCCTGATTTTCTAGGTTTTCCAGACCATAGGCAACCTTAGACTTTCTATTCAAGAAAGCAAAGGATCAACTAATGACTGGTTGATTAGGAAATATGGTTTCTCCTGAATGAAACTGGACAATGACAAGCTTAAATAAATTGTAAACTTCCTGAATTGTTGTGTTTAGAATCACTACATAAGTGCAGAATAAGGAATCGCCCTTCATCAATGGGTCAGTTACGCAAATTGCAGAATCACGTTAAGCATACAGATAAGCAAAAATAAATAATATCGGTCCAGACATCAAATTTTAACACAGACATCGCCCATCAAAAACAAAACAGTTTATGACATCATTCATAATGTTGGTACATACCGTGGTTTCTTCCACCTTGGTTACACCCAAGTTTTACATTGAGCAACCAGTGGAAACGTTTGTATCACTGATTGATGAAAACAAAAGGAGAAGAGACCAAGGTATGCATTATCGCTGCGGATGACGTCATATCGTGCTCCCATTGTGATTTTTGAGTGATTCGAACCATAAAATGCCTATTCTTATGACTGTATCTCTAGCACACAACACACCTGATGGCTTTAACCTCCTCTTATCCACTGATTGAACTTTGACTGCGATAGCTTCTTAGAAAAAGCAAAAATAATATATAAATTAAAGAAAAGAATAATAAGAAAAAAATACTTACTCCATCCTCGCTGACCATCTTCCTCCTCTTCTTAATTCTGCGAGGCATTTTATCCTCAACAACTTTCAAGCTTTCCTCATCTCCGTTTTGTTTTTCGAAGTCTCTCCAAGCTTCAAGCAACATGACACGCTCTTCTTTCTCACCTGCTGCCATTTTTAGAGACTGGTTGGCTCTTTCAAATACCCTTCTGGCTGGTGATACATCGTCAGAGTCAGCGTTCGCCATTTCAAATTGAGCGTAACTTATCCACACCTGGAAAAAAAAATTGTGGCATGAAATATCATAATTAAAAGGTCTTCACATCATTATTTTAAAGTTTTAAACATATGACATATCAATATCCATTTTTAGTAAAAAACTAATTTTGCATTCGGAAAAATTTGATTTTCATAGGGAAATAGTCCTGCCTCCTCTAAAATGGCAAAAGCAGCCTGGAGGGGATTTCAGTCAAAACTAGTCTTGTAAAACTGTACATGAGTTTTGATTGTTGGGGGAAGGATAAAAGTATTTCAGTTTTCAGATATTTCAATAATAGTAATTATTATTGAAATAGTTTATTAATATTAGTTGTACCAAATCAGAGAATATTTCATCAATATTTCAGATTTAGTTGTTAGCAAAACTAGAAAGAGTTCTATTCGTTCTCTGACTACATTTTGTTCCCTTTGTCTTTACAGGAGAGCTATTTTTTAATCAAAGGTTTTTTTAATTATAATGACGAATTATGAATGAGAATAATGGGAAATGATGACTTGGTTAAAAAACGTGTGATTGGAGAAATGAGCGTTCAATTTTTAGTGTGTGGAAAAATACTGAAGAATGAACTTCAAACAGAATGCAAGTTACTAAAACAGTTTTTGCGTTATTTTTCTCGTGCATGTTTAATTTGTCCTGAGAAAAATAAATAAGCTATACAATGAATTAAACAAATCAAAATATGAATATTTAATATATCCATACCTTCACATGCATAGTTCGTTCTAATAACCGCTCATATAATTGCCTAGCATTTTCTATTTCTTCTTGTCCAATTTCAAAATCTATGTACGCTTTCCACAGGAGTTCTGGCATGTCCAAGCGTGGTTGGTTAATGGCTAGTTCATAAATGGCTCGAGCTCTTACAATATCTCCCAAAATTGTCTCTAATTCTGCGAACTGAAAAAAAAAAAAAAAAGAGTAAGGAATTGGTAAAACAATAATTTCATAGTGATCACCAATTTATGAAATGAAAATTTGAAAATAAGATAGTCCCTGGCAACTAAATAAAGAAACATAAGCTTTTCTGAGGTTTCTGTCTTCCACAGTCGGGCTCTTTTTTCTTGGGCACAAGTGAATGTCTATGATGAACCTCATTTTCTGAGAATCACTTTGTGAATTACTGGTTTTTCTCAGATCTGATCCACACTTAAATTCAGAGCTCTGAAATGTTTAAAAGAGAAAGCTTAAAAAACTAACATTTTTGAAAAATTTTCTCTTAAATTTCATAAGTTAAGATAAGAATTAATATAGTATCTTCCATGCAAAAAAATGACAATGCCTCTTTTATAATTGGACACAAAAATTGTAATGTAAAGTTACAGCTTTTGGTGCATAAATGGAGGATAAAAGGAAAAAACTCAATTGAGTAAATTTTCCTTTTTAGAGCTACACTGTTTGGAAAAACACCAGTTATGGCCAATCGGGAAGACTTCTGCAAATGCATTTCAGGTCTAATTTAACTCATCATCTGTGCAGCGCAGCCTCCCGACTCTCAGCTTTAAAGATTGGAGATGAAGTTAAAACAAAACTGAGGTTTAGTCAAGCGACTGCAGCCGTAAGCCAATTTATTTCCATATACTAAGCAATTAACCAAACAACACTCATACTGGCTTGGCAGGTCACTATTACAATGAATAAAAGGAGCTATAGAGCACCTCTCAGATTAGAGGCAGAAACTTTGACGTAAAGTGTAGCGTCTGGTGCTTGAGCTCTTCACAAAGGGGGAAAAAACTGTTGAGTCCAATCATTTTTCCTTATACATCTGTCCGTTGAGATATTTGGCTTGGCCCACATTGTGGATAAAAAGGGCAAAAACTTACTTTTGCCAACTACAAGAGCTCTATTGCTATCGATTTGGGTTTATCAAATCGTCTCTACTTTACAATGGGACCATTTAAATAGCATACCAAAAGCTGATAGGACATTCTTAATTGGAGTTCGATATAGTGAAATTTTGATAAGTCTGTTTTGATCGGGACGCCAGTACACTATATTACCAACCTAAGTAGGTTGCCAACTTAAAAGATTTCCCTCTTTCTTCGATCTGCATATTCGAATTTCGTGCTTTGAGACCCAACTGCACAACGAAATTTAAATACAATGTATTTCTTTCTTAAGGGAGCAGCCAATGTGACGTCACACTGTGTCAATTTCGCATCACACTGACTGCAAAATCAACAATCATACCATAACCTAACTCTAGGATCGTTTTCACACGTCTTTTCACATTTTTTTTATCTATTGATTGGAGACCTTAAATTTTCATCAATATCTTGCGTCAAGTACATGTTATCAACATTGACTTACCCTCATCCAGGTTATACAATTTTCCGGGCCAAACTCTAGAAATTTTTGATATAAAATCCTACTTCTATCGAATTCTCTCAGTTGAATTTCTAGGTCAATGTATCCTCTAAATAGTTTATTTTTGGGACAAATTCCTAGTCCCATTCCCTGAAACAGAAGAAAAGCAAATTTCATTGAAATTTTTATAAATCAAATCGAATTACTGTCTTCATGCTTAGAATGAATTGCCTTGGCGAACTCAATTTTCGATTTTTTTGCAATTGGCCCATTATTCATTCCAAGTCTGCACAAAGTTTTATTCTTGGACCTATATCTGTGATTACTCAAAATTTTCCCCACCCATAATTAGCTTCAAAGAAACATTTTACATACTATATCTTTACCACTAAGTAAAGAATATTAAAAATAATGAAAAATGAAATTAGAGTGGATTATGAGAAAAACTAGATTATTTGCAATTTTATACAATATTTCAAACAGAGGAATAAAAAACTTGTTAAGTGCAAACTTACCAAAGTTTTCCTGGCTGCAGACAAATTTTTATGCCTGATTTCGAACTGAGCGTATAAAAGCCATATCTTGCTAAAGGTGAAAACTTTATGTGGTAACAACTCTAAACAAGCACGATACACCTGCCGTGTTCTTTCTTCATCTTCCGCTTCGAGTTCTTCAAAGAGGGCATAGTTTATCCATAAATAAATATACCTTCGCCAGAAATGTTTATCCTGCCACATGCACAAAATCAGATTGTTTTAAAAGAGAGAAACAGAGAACAAAAAGTTGATAAAGGAAACCACAGAAGGCAAAAACTTCTCAAATTTTTGTCATAAAGAGATACAATGATTGAAAGAATGGTCATGCGCTAACAGAATGCACTTGAATCTTAAAATTCAACAATCATTTTTACTTGAATAAGGGACTAGAAGAGAGCTAGAATATATTATGATCCAATTTTAGATCAATTATTGTTTTCTTTAAAGAAGCTTTATCAGCTTAGATCCAAGATTGGTCAATAATCAACCCCCACTAAATTTTCCGGACCCTGGTGGACTTTTCTCCAGATACTGAGAAATTCCACGCCAGCGAAATTTCAAGATTTTTTTTATAAAATGTTCCTGATTATCTCCATAGTAAGATGAGCTTTTGAAAGCAATTTTTTTATGTGCCAATCTTGAGGGAATCAGGGCTGCAGAGGACATTTTTTGGCAGTTTTACACATTATCAAAGAGCGAGCTCTTCTTTCCTTGTCTTGCGTCGCCCGGAGAGTTAAAACAGCCCGTCAACTCAGTTCAACATAAAAAGTTCTGCATCTTTGACACAGCAACAGTGAGTCACTTCGCTGTATCATAACTTGTGTAAAACTGCCAAAAATGTACTTTTCAGCCCTGATTTTCTCCGGATTGGTACATAGAAAGTTCAATTTTAAAAACTCATCATACTCAGGAGATCGGAAGAAACAGAATATAAAAAAATTCTTGAGATTTAGACACTGCCAAACTTGGAATCCCGCGAGTAGTCCTCTTCATTATTCCATTTTACAGACACAATCAAAATGTTTTCCAGAGTTTTTTTCTTAAAAAAAGAAAACAAAGTAAACTATTTTCCTCAAATTCCTGTGGATATATTTCAATAAATGAAGGAATCAATAAAACATTTAAAAAAAACAAACTATTAATTAGTTTCTTTAAAAAAAAAAAAAAAAAAAAAAAAAAAAAAAAACACGAGGGGAGATTTTCACCGCCATGATGACGGATATGCATTTTCCTATTTCAGCTATAAATATATAATTACCTTGGTTAATGGAACGTTTGCTATGGCCCGTTCATAAGTTTCCCTAATGGTGTCTAAATTTCCTTCATCTTCAACTAGCCGTAGATAATCAAACCATGCATCATAATTTGTAGGGTTTGCTTTAACTTCCTGCGATGAAACAAAAATAAATATATATTCAAGTATGTGAATTAAATAAAGAAAAAAATTAGAGATACTGAACGTATAAATAAATTGTAGGAAAAGAAGAAGAGGTAAACTTAGATGAAGTGATTTGTTCGCTTTATAATTCAACACTGAGCGACAAAATTAAATTTTTTTAAACAAGTCCACATTTTTAAAGAACAAAGAAATAGACCACAAAATTTAATAATTTGATAGAATTTGAATAGAAGTGTTCTGAGGAGGTCTTGGAAATGTCCAAGGGAAAGGAGGTGACTACTCTGACGATTGGTAAATTGCAAAAAATGTGAGGTACAGAGCGCATTTTAAAGAAACTTTTTAGTAGAGATGACTTTTGAATATATATGAGACTTCCAAAATGTTCACATATATTCTGAGGGAATCAGAGAATTTTCATAAAATTGAGAATTTTGGTCAATGAGAAAAAGTGACTGAAGGCATAAAATTACTGGAATTGTGAACTTAGTGCACTTTCGCTCTGTAAAAGCGTATTTTCGTTGATGATCGGTCAAACCAAAATGGGTGGATCATGCACTTTTGTATTTTGTTTTAACACGATCATACTTCTTCGGAACCAAATCGAGACTCACCAGGCGGATAGAAAGTAGAATGCTTGCAAACGTTGGAGCCAAAAGTAAACCCTACTAAAATATGATTAAGTCATGACCTGATGTAGATGATAGCATCTGATCAGCATCAATTTCGAAAGTCTAACCTCAGATGTTTACTTTTGGCTACTGGCTTTTTGGCTCTACTGATCACTAACGAAAATACGCTAAAAAGATGTTAAAAATTCGAATGATCAAAAATGCTGTAGCGAAAACTCACCTCTTCATATTGAAATTTTCTTTTACTCGCAATGACATCCTCGATTCCTGTTCGATCACCGTACTTCTTTTCATGTATAGTGTAGGCTTTATAAATTTCATGTGTCCTCTCCTTGGCAATATGGTCAAGGGCATACTTGTATATCACTCTCGCACGATCATGCTGAAAATAATAAAACAGCTATTAAATTTAGAATGTACACTTTTATTCAATTTGAGGTCAAGAAAAAAATGAACTTGAATTTCAATCCAGTAAGAATGATTCATTTGGTGTCTAACACAGTCTTAAATGAGGATGTAGGTGGAGAAGCAGTGTCGGAGGCAAAGCAGCATTTAGACGAAACTATGTTCAGAATATTCAACTGCTGTGATAGTAGGGCTACCTCTCTTCTGAAAAAATGCCTATCATGCTTAAAAATTATGCAGTTGCCTTAGACATTCGTAAGGAACAGTCTGCATGTATGCTGGATCCAAAACCAGTGTTCTAGAATAACAACTTCAGTGCGCTTATATTGTTTTTCTGATTATGTTTTTATATTAATAACTTTGCACCATGCAGATTAAAATATTAATGTTGAAAATCAAACATACTTCTTTTTGTCCTTCTTCAAATTTAGCAAAGGCAATGAATAGCTTCTCATCTAGAATCTCTTCACCAAAAAATTCTACTGCTCTTTCATACACCTGCCTGGCTCCAGATATGAAGCCATTTTTTTCTTCGAACCTGATAAAAGAGAACAAAAATTACGTATAAATACCTAATGAAGAAAAATTAAGTACAACAGGAAGTCTGCTACATGGTAAACGGAGATATGCAGTTCCACACTTTGGCCATCGATGTATACAAATGCAAACAACTTTTTTTTTTCTTTCTTTAAAAACGATTTGTACAACTCTTAATAATCAAGCTTGTCATTTTCATAGGATTTAATTAAAAGTTTCATTTCATATACAGTCCAAAAATTTTAATGGATCTCCTTCTCATCACTGACTACAGACAATGATTTAAAATACAGTACATGAACAACAGTTGTGTAGTCATGTAGTCCATTTATTTTATTTTTGGTCTGGCATTTCTTTTACTGTTATATTTGTGCTGAACATTGCATAATGCTGCATAACAGATACATGTTCTAAAATATCTACTTACCTCGCATACTTGATCCAATTTTTAACATCAGGATGTACCATTACAAACTTGTTATAGATCATTCGAGCTCTATCAATTTCACCATAACGAAGCTCAAATTTGATATAGGTCAGCCACGCTTGCTCATCTGGTTCCCATTCCATCCACCGCTCAAACACCTGCCGAGCGCCTGTGGAGAAAAAATATGATGATTCTAAAAGGCTTGTACATGAGTAATACATAGAATGAAAGAATGACTCAATCATATTTTTACATGAATTATAAGACAAAAAGAAATTTGATAGTAATAATTACATGAAGGACACTAACTTGAAGTTTATAATAAAGAAAGGTTAAAAAATAAGGTAAGGTAAATGCTTTAAGTATAATTATTAATATATAATTTATAATACATATTTTTTGGGGACTCATGGTTTTCTACTATTTTCTAATACCACTCATGATATGGAGCTTCCCGACAGCCAAGTATCTTGGAACTCCTCTATGAAAAATTTACAGAAGTATGCTATGTATAACTTCAAAATAATCACAAATGTAGAAATGTAAATACTGCTCGACAGCGTAACTGGTTGTTTGAAACCAAATTGTGGACACCAACATGTTTGTTAGTTCCTTGTTTTTTTTTTGACAGCAATTTCTGTCTCTTAAAAACAATACAATGTGTGCAAAAATCTGAGGGAAAATAGCAAATCCATTAATAATAGACCAAATTTTAAACAGCACATTGTGTTGATTTCATAAAGAAAGTTTTTGAGGCCACTTAGAAAATTGCGGAGGCGCAGAAATAATTTCACCCCAAGACAAATATCTCATGCATCACTGAATTTAGAGGAGCTGTGGATACTTATGTCCCTTTTTGTTATGTTTCCTAATGTTTCATACAAATAATTCAAAGAATGATCATCATACCTGCAATATTTCCAAGTTGTTCTTCCATGTAAGTATACTTGTACCAAAACTGATTAGCACGCGGCAGTATTGTGACAGCACGGTCCCAAAGATTGCGAGCATGATTGACTTGCCGATTTCGCATTTCCATCTCAGCATATTTAAGCCATAATAAAATGCTTCGATGAAAATCACATAGGGCTCTTTCATAAATTGATCTTGCTCTGAAAAAGCATTGAAATAATTAGTATTATAATCGGAACTACAAGATAGTCAAATACTGGAGAAACCTTTAAAAATTTGAACAACTTTAAGCTTAAAAGAGACGCTACACTCTGCTTTCTTTGCACATACAGTAGAAAACATTGTTGAAAATTTAGCAGTGTAATCAAGAATTCAATTATTCTTTCTGAGAAATCTATTGAAGGTAAAAAGCATACCTTCTCCGATCAAAAACATTTTAAGTATCTACGTTCACCACGTCTACATAATGTGATTGATTTTATGTACATGGAGTTTGGAGAAATGTTTACCAAAAAGACAACATCCACGGTCAGTATTTTAGGATTACCTTTGAACTTCCTTCTGACTTTCCTCCCACTGAGCATATTTGATCCAATTGCTTATGACTGATCGGTTCTTTCTTATGTTATCTTCAAAGGCACGCCTTTTCCTGTGTTGATAGTCAGCTAATTCCTCTGGATCTGAGATTTTTTGTTTTGGAGGCTGGAACAAAAAAATAAAGTGAAAAAAGGTACGTATGAACTTTATTATTTACTTAATTTTCATTTATTTTCTTACTTACATCTTCCATGCATGTACACTGTTGACTTGATACTTAGTCTTATCCAAGAAAAATCAACAAGGTGGACTGCTGGTTCGAAGTTAAAATTTAAAGAATGCTGGATCGCAAGCCGCACTACTTAATTGGCTTATTTGATCAGGTTTGAGTTTCTTCGATCTATAAAGCTGATTCAGCTTGAAACTCTGTAGTAGGATAAACTACAATACAATTAAGAATAGCAAAATATTTGTATGACAACTTAATCAAATTCATCAGGATCGATGGGAAGTAATTAAATCACTACTTACAGGTGGCACTATTTCAAGGTCTCTTTCTTTGGCTTCACGCAAAAGCTGCTCAGCTGTGATTTGAATTTCAGCCGGCGCTTTGTTTTTCACCTGAAAAAAAAAAAAATAAAAAGTTGGAATTAGCACATCTAATAAAATAATTTGTTCACTAAAAAGCCATCCTTAGAAAAGTAAAATTCAGATTGACAAAAATTTTTATAAATCAAACAACCTACTCATTACGCTCTTGTCAGCTTTAAAAGTATCAGTCTAAAGTAAAACTAATGGTTATGTTGAGGTTGTCAGAGGTAGAACAAGTATTGGAGAAATCTCTAGCTTCTGCTATCACTGAACGGTCAAGCAGCGAGACCATTAGCGCCCAGGGAGTAACTGTTGAAGGGACCCTGGTAGACTCAACCAGCCAACAGGCATTTGTGCATTCCAAATTACAGCATAATTTAGAATTATTATTGATACCTCAAAAGCATTGCTAATTCAGTTCGATGCTCGATACAGGTATCAATACTTTCCCAAGTATAGACATCCCAAAAGGTTTCTCTACTCCGGTGCTGGCATTATGTTAATTGAGTATAAGTCATTAGCCTTATATGACAAACGTACTCATCAGCGCGCGCCCAAGACATAGTTCAGTTGACGAGTTAGTTCGCATCATCTGTCGGCATTACCACGCGATTGTTTTGGTCATGTTTTTTTCGTTTTCGAGATAGATGGCATCTCAAGTGTAGCAACGCCGACAGATGGCGCGACTTAACTTGTAAGCGGAGATATGTCCTAGGCACGCACTGACAAGTATACTCGTCATGTTAAGGGCCTCGTCATGCAATTGTGAGCCTTGTTGCACTTTACAGTAGCAGAAATCAATCTTGTGGAAACAAACAAGGTTCTGCATGGCGAAATGCGAAAAACACAAGCTGCTGTGTTGTGTGCTATAGAACCAAAAAAGATTTCATTACAGATACAATCTTACTTGGTGTCTCGCACTTAGAACAGTGGGCGCAGCGCTAAAGTACACTCTGAGGGTTTACCCTCTCAATAGTAAAGAATTTAACTCCATCAAGTTCAGACTTAAATTCAGAGGCAGGATGATAGAAATTTGATCATTTAACCGCAAGTAGGTGCTGATAAAAAGTATCCATCGTTCAAATAACTTTCAGTCAGGAAACGAGACAAGAAGATCTCCACACAAAATGTAATGGTTGTTATTAAAGAACAGGACTTACCTTAGCCACCTTGGGCATTTTTTGTGGTTTCTCCATGATTAAACGTTGGATTAACTAACTGTAAGGAGATAAAATAATAAAATTTAGGATTCAAAATCAAAATCAAAGTTGTGAATCGCAGGTAAGCGCCCTTGCGCGCTCGAACGCGATGAAGGAAACATAACCTAAATAAACAAACCTGGTCAGAGCTACCTTCACCGGTGAGATCAACTCATCACAAGGTGAGCGGGAATTTTAAAATGACGGCTTTAAAGTCTTAAAATCTCATATTAAAATCTCGCATATTCTTCGCTGTCATATCACTCTTTAGAATGTTTAAATGAGATTAAAGCAAGTATCGCTGCTCTTTATTCTTCTCATATCCAGGATGTGTTTACATTTTGAATGCATCGTCAGTCAACAAAGTCAAAGGAATATTATGTTTAATTTTCTTTGAGCAGAACTACTTAGGTACACCGACAGTCTCCCTAGAAATTCCCCGTGAAATTTCTTCATTTGTTCCAAAAAAAAAATCACGACAAGCTGCGAGATAGTTTTCCTCAAAGAAAATAAAACGTAATCGGAGATTTTTAAATGTTGTAGTTGAGGTAAGTAGATCCCCATTTTTTTGCACTAGCTGTCAGCCATCGAATTGTGGAAAACAGTCCGGCTAGGATTTACTGAGAGACATTATTGAAATCACATCTTTAAATTTCTTTGCCTCAAAATTATTCTCTTATCCTCTCCGAAAATGAGAGTTCAACATTCCGGTGAAACATGTGAAAATTTTAATATTTTTTTACACTATCTTTTTGAAGAATCTTCATTGTTCAATCTTATAGTTTCTAAAATCATACCTAGCTCACAATTTCACTAACTCTTGAACTGTACACATTTTTTAAACTTCTTAGAGGCAGTATGAAGCAGAGAAATTACATAAGTACCTACATAATCATGACGAAAAACAATACTTTAATTAAATGTTTCAGTAAATATTTAGCTGCCCGGTGTAGCATATACATATAATGAACAATATTTTTAAAAGTTTTTCGATACCTAGGTACCTAATCAATTAATGTGTCTCAGAGGTTCAATTGTTGAATTTCAGGGAGCTTTAAACTGAAAAATTATGAAAGGTACCTTTCATAATTTTTTAAAAAATACATTTTTTAAAAACGCGTTTTTAAAAAATGTATTTTCATCTTACCTATTATTTAATGAATTAATACTAAAAATCGCCATCTTTAATCTGTTTATTGAATAAAATGAACCAAAGTAATTGTATTCTCTAGCTGTGAGCTTTAAACAATGAGCCTTAGTGAGCTTTAAACAACAAAAAATTAAAAAATCACATCACTTAGGTTTATTTTATTCATTGGACACTTATGAAATGTTCTTCTTAGTACCTAGGTATATCATGATGATTCTTGAGCCATCCAGTCTTTGAGATATTTCAATAATCAATCATAATTTTAGATATATATCGGTAATAATTCTCTCTCTTAAAGAGGTTGGCTTGATTTAAAACTGAAACTTTTGATTAGGGGAAGAGATTGATCTGAGTCGAGAAGCCAACATAAATTCGCATAAACCAAAAAACGGACGAGATAGAACAACAATCAACTATAAGCACATATAGGTAATGATAATTACCTATTGAGACTGCTAATGGTGGGTGCAATATTTCGTTGTAAAGTTGACACAGAAAAAGCAAGACATCACATGAATCTTTATTTAGGAGAAGTATCTATCCTACATCCAAATAAAACACAAACAAAGCCCAGAAAACTTAGCAGAGAAAGAACAATGAGGACACCACACAGTGTCAGTGCTACAAAAGCACTGTTGGACTCTTTTTGGCGTGCTTCTGAAAAATAAGTAAAAAGAAATTCATCACAAGACAGATTGAATATTCTTTTGGTTCAGCATTTAGGTATTCAAACAAAACAAAAACAACATTGAACAAAACAAAACATAACTTTGCTGTAATAAACTTCTAAATTTCATGATTTTTCTCATAATATTCACAAGATTGAGCTGCAAAGTGTAACAGTGCGTTAAATGAGTGGTTGTAAGGCCTTAATTGTTCCAGCCCTGTCCTGATCATGAGAGAGTCAAAAAAAGGAAAGAAATTGAATTTATTGTTGCAACAACTGGTACCTACTTAAATTCATTTTAAAGGATTTTTATCCTTCACCCAACATTTCTCCTACTTCGCATAAGTTTATGTATGTAAAATTTTATGAAGTGTGAACCTTGCCTAACTTGTTTTAATAAAAAAACAAAATTTTAAGGCGCAAAAATTGCTTGAGAGTGGAGTGGGAAGGTCTTGGAATTTGTGCATGGTAAAATGTGGATTTGTGCATCAGACAGAGTAAAAAAAAAAAATAGATATGTAATTTATGGAGCATCATTTTTATTGAGGATATAGAGTGTAAAACATGAATTAATTGCTATTAAAGAAGTAAAGTATGACAATAAAAGCTTGCGAGCAATTTTTTTGAAGTTGTGGAAACTGTGAAAATTTAAAATAAAAAGATATTAGGTAACTTAAAAAGAAGTTCTGTTTCTGAGCAATTTTTCATTTTCAAGACAGGATTACATAATCAAACCTCAATGGATAACTCTGGCACACTCCTATACATATAAAAGTATAAAAAATAAGAACACTTAAAATTATTGCGGCAAAGCAATGAACCGAAAAAAAGAAGGAAAAATAGTTCATTGCATCTAATTTTCTTTTGTTTATAATTTGGAATTTCATACACAAGAAGCTTGAGAATTGTAGGAACTTTTTCTAAAATCTACTTGGCTAGACAGAAGTAACCTTTGAGGATAGATAGAGCTAGCAGAAAAATTATAGTCATTGCCAAATAAGTTCATGCATTTTCAGAATGCAATAGAAGATCCTCTATCTTGATTCTTGTATTTACTTTCAATGATAGAGTGAAGACAGCTGATCTCCTGTTGCACTGTAGAAGTGCAAAAACTTGTTTGAAAAAGAATATAAATGTAAGAGAAAGGAGAAAAATAGGATGTATAAACTAAATTAAAATCACAAAAATACTACACTACAAAGTAGGCGCAGATTTATATTAAATTCAACTCTTTTACAGAAAATATTGGTTATTTTCACTGGCAAAAATCTCCATGAATTTCCTCAGAATTGGTGACTGTTACTCGAATCTGAACTAGTCTCCTGATCATTGAAAAGACTGTATCAAGGTTTTTCATCTTTCATCTCCTCTTTTTTCCTTTTGTTCATTTGAACTCCATGGTTTAAAACTCCAAGTCATAGCCAAACTGTTTAACAGTGCCTAGATACTTCTATACACTGAATATTTTATTGCTAAATATTCTGTACATCAAAGCCTGATTTACTACCTGTGTATAAACCTTTACAGATGATTAAAGTTGATCAGGTATAGCGTTGGAAAAGGGAGTATTTCAAATGAAAGTCGAGGTAAAGATACCAGGGATGATTATCTTACTAATTGAAATTACCTCCAGATTCACTTATATCAGCCTGGACACGAAACAACCATTTTTTCAATTTATCTGAGTCCATGATGCATTGTTCCAACTGCTCACTCCAAATGTACAACATGCTGAAAAAACAAAAATTGAAGTATCAAAAATTCCTGCCTCAACAGAATATCAGATTGAGATATTCAACAAGCTGACATTATATGCATACTTCATAAAACTTATCATTGGCAAATTGAATTATTTCTTTCAGAAGAAAAATGTTCAATCTAGAACTTTTAAAAATAATTTCTGTTTTCGGCTGATATTCAACATCAAATATGATTAAAAGGAGGTACCATTAAAATATAATTCCTATGAAACCACCGCTGTTAGTTAAGCCTTCATCACAGAAAATCTGAGTTTATAAAACAGTTTGACGAAACTGACGAAACTGCCGAAAATCGGATTTTCACTCATCATGACTGGGTTCCCGACTTTAAAGTCCCAATTTCCTGATTTGTTTGGCTTCTTACCAACTCCAAATTTGCCAAATTTCCTGTCTTACCCTGACCTTTAACCCAAACCTCCACAAAGATTTTTTCCTTCACTCTTTTTCAATTATGTAAATTTTTCCTGAACTATAGTGAAATCTCCACTTCTAGTGAGTCAAATCCAAAGTTATTCGCGCTCTCTTGAATGGCACTGACTGTAGTTGCTGAGCCGACATGCTACTCGCAAAATTTCCTGGCTCTTCCAGTGAATTCCTTGACTTTCGTGGACTTTCCAGGTTTTTCATGAATTATGCAAAATGAATTCATGATCATTACTTACTCAGAGCAAAGACATCGCATCTCTTCATTTTCTGCTTTGGCGCAGACCATTTTGTAGTCCACGCAGTTATCACTATGAACGCATGTTTCATTGAATTTCACGTACCCTGGTTGTGGAAAAAGAAAATCAGTTTTAGAGAAAGTATGGCTTTAAAAGTATTACTGTCAAAGAACTGGCAATTTCTCCATGCTGCCGAACGCATCCACATAAAAAATGTGTGAGAAGCTAACCGAAGTATATCAACTCGATTTAGAAGGAATGATTGGAGGAAATTGATGGCACAGGAATTCAAATGATCCAGTAAAATTTTCAGCGATAATATAGAATGTTTCTATTATCAAAATCAACAGAGAGAAATTAATAGGTCTTCCAACTTACAAAAAATTTGGTAAAAAAAATGTAAACGTAACAAAAATATTATAACTTTGCGTCTCGGTATCTTATAAAGCTATTCGAAGTTTAAAAGAATATAAAAGCCACACTAGGTGATATTTTAATGGAGAAGATATCAGATAATAAACGAGATTATTTATATTTGATCTTCTAATTTCCAGAAAATCTAGTGAAAAATAATGTAAGCCTGACAAAAAATTACAACTTTGCAGCAAGATATCTGTTAAAGTTATTTCAAGTTTAAAAGAAAGTAAAAACCACTCCGAGCGATACCTTAATGAAGATAATAATATCCAATTTAGTCCTTCTCATCACCTTCTAAATGAAATGTAAATATACAAGAATAAAATTGTACACAGCTAAAATCAAAAGCAAAAGAGTAGAAGGTTGTCAGGCTTTACCATAGTTAGCTGAGATGCAATTGCAAAAACATAGAACGAGAAATGAAATAATAAAACATTTTACAGTGCTGAAGAACATGGTGATACGTGTTATAAAAACAGGTGAGATGGACTGGAGAAATTCAGAGAATGTATCCAAATTCAGTGGCACCCAGCCATAGAACAATCACTCACAAGAGGAAGCACTGTTGACAGCGTGTTTATTTATAGATCCCGGGAGAGCAGTAAACATGGAAACAAGGAGTTGGTAGGATGCAACAACTGAGTTATAGCTCCCATCTCCAAGACTCTGTTAGTTCCACTCATAAACAACTTTTTCTGCAACGAACAGAATCTAATAAATGCTCTATTATTAGGAGGTTTATTTTTTGCTTCTTGCCGCTCTCTGAGAGGTACTCACGTGGGATGTCTAAAATATGTGCAATTCAATAGTATTAAAGTTAAAGTTGCCTTAATGCATAAGTGAAATGTTTCTTTTTTCAAAGTTACTGTGTAATGTTATTGAACTTATTTTACCATTTTATCAGAAGAGGGATCAGTTAATTTTTGACTTTTTGAGGACCCTAAGGTTTTAATGTGTTTTTGGTGCTAGATATATAAGAACAATTTGCAAGTTTGAATTAATTCTGAAAATAGTCAGTAACCTTACCACATTAGAACAAAAGCTGGAAGTTGCATGGCAAGAATTTTTTATAAAATAAATTAAAATATATTATAGGAATTATTGGATAACTTGAAATCTATCAATGAACCTGTCTTACCTATCTTGAATCTATCTTACTTAAAAGCCCCCTAAAATTCAATACAGTAAAAGAAACTGCTTTAGAGAAAGAATGGCTATCGGTCAAGAGTGCTGTCATGAGGTGTTAACGTTATTGCTTCACTTTGCACAATGAATTTTTTATCAGGGACTTAGAAGTCAATTTTCAGGCAGAAATCATGTCAGGCAATCGAAAATTAGTTGGCAAAAATGTATGGCAGAAATAAAATGCTTGAATTTTTAATAAATGCATTCAACTCTTAGAAAACGATAAACCAATAGAATAAACTAAAATTGTCAGGAGAGCCGCAGTTGACAATTAATTATTTTAACCTGATTTACAGCCATTGAATGGCACCATTACCATCAAATTTACTTTGACGTTATGTTAAATTTAGCATTCTTGTATATTTTTCCATAAAAAGGCTAATGCATTCCATCAGCTTTTACTTCCTTGGGAGATAAAATTGCTATTTCAAAAGAGAAAGCTTTCATTTGCACCATCTATTTTTGATTAAATGATCATGAGATACTTACATACTTTACTCTAAACATTAATTTACAAATCTTTACGGAAAAATACACAGACAAAGTAAAGAAACCAGGTCAACAACAGCTCCTCATGTCAGACCAAGCCGAGAGCCATGCTTGCTTAGGAACAATCTAAATAGACTGAACCCAAGGTAGGTTTTTCATGAGAACTTTTGCTTCGAACTTGAACTTCTTTGATGATAGATACTATTGTTCTTCTAGGGAAGCCTTTCGTCAGAATTGCTCGTGATATGCAAGTAATGATTGACTTGCTTGAGACAGGCACATTTTCTCGGATACCCTTGCCTATTGTTTTACAGATTAAGATATCAAAAAATACAAAAATTTGAGGGAAAAGAAGGATTTGAGTCATTCTAAATAGATCGCTTTGTTCCTAAAGTGTGACATTTTTATCCCTTTCATTGATTTTCAAATCAAATTTTTGTTTCAAAATCAAAAAGAGCGAAAAAAATTTCTCATTTTTCGCTTAGTGAATTTGCAATATTTAAGTAACCATCATGTTTCCGGTCAAAATAAGGGCCACACTTTTAATAGGAAAATAGATTTATTTAAAAATAAACAGAAAAATGTTCCAAGGCTTAACAAACTTCTATAAAATGACACAGATACATTAAAATAACAACTATCAAAGAGACTCCTGTAACTATTTGTCTCCAATTTCCTTGAAACTTTTGGAAACATTAGTCGTTTGTTGGGCTGCAATGATGGCCCAATGAAATCTGTCTCTACTAATAGAATCAGAGCTTCATGGAATTTTTGAAAATTTGAGAATGTTCTAGGGAATGCTCTGTTCCATTGAGCTGAAAATTATCTTGCTTCTCTCCAAAAAAAAATCGAAAATATAAAACCCTGGTTAAGGGAACAACAGTGATTCATTTAACGCCAGTCCATGATTCAACATTTTTTTGGGTTGCATCTATCTTAAAATCATCCTTTTGACTCATATCGTGCCACTCCTCTGGCAATATGCATTTTGCTTCATAATGACTTTTGAGACTTGAATCCACACCTATAGAATACTGATAATCAACGGTGTAAGTCGGCAATCACATAACTCGGTTTGCGACGTCGCAGATTTCCTGTCATACTTTATTTTATAAATGGAAAACTACTCAACGGCAATTCTTTAAAACTGCCGTGGTTTTTCTTCTCTGTGCAAAGAAAATTCTGCAAAAACTTCAAGGAGTGATGTCAATTTGTTCTCCTCTAAAAAAAATAACATAGAGGTGGAGATTTTCAGACACCGCCAACAGGTTCTGTGATTGCCGACTTACATATTCGTAATGCCAAAGAGGTTACACTACAAAACACGTCAAAGGTGATAATTTAGATAGAGCAAGTGCACCAATATTCATTTTTTGGATCCATCCATTTCCCAAATGTTTTAAGATCACCACAGTTTTTCTGGGGTATTCCTCTATCATTAAACATTCCTCAAAGACTACTTAACCCCAAAATTTCAAGGAGATTTGAGGCAGACAGTGGGGATGATTCTTTGTAAATCTTAGAAAAAAATACCAATGGTAGGACATCACAGTTTTGTTCTGCATCATCACATTGTTTCTTTTTCCTTACGTACACACGCAAAAGATGGCTAAAAAACCACAAGTATAAGTTTTATTTTATACCATTTACTATGTATAAATTTTTACCTCGCACTAATTTTGATTTTGATTCATTATCTGCGTTAAATATGTTGCCACTCAGGTTGAGTAATATGGCTTTAAGCGACTTAATTACAACTCTTTCAATGAGAAATCTTGAGTATTTTTGTTTTGATTAGATAAACAGTGACTCAAAAATTAAAAATTATTGCGATACATATTCAATTTTCATTGCTTCGATGAGAATATAGGAAAATCAGTATGACTTCGGTATCGATGCAATATATTTGCACTAGACTATAAAAAGGCAGATAGACAAGAAAAATATAAACTTATTTTGGGTTCAATGATGAAAAATAACAGCAAAAATCATACGATACCATGTGAAAGCAAAGTTCTCGTTGAAAATTAATATAAATAAGTCGGTCAAAAAGCGCTTTCTCATGAAGTATTTCCAGAATTTTTTTCAGTTCCCAGTATTTCTTGGATTCCACAAACACGATTTGAAGGTACAGCGACATCTGGAAAAATATTTATTGACTCAGCAAAAATGTAACTCATAAATTTAATTTGAGAAGAGGGCTCACTACAAAAGGGTCAAAAAATGTAACAATTGGAAATTACTGAAAAAGCTCATTTATTAGTATTGTTGCATAAATGGAACATGAGAAACCTCGTCTTTTCTATAGAAAGACTGATTGTGCTGTCTTTGTAATTTTGATCTTTGAAGGGCCTTGTCTCCACGGGACGTTTCATGGAATTTGTCCCATGGAAAAATCTCACCTGCAAAGTTGGGAAAAATATTGAGTTAGTCAATACTAATTGAAGTACCAAGCAGAGTCCTTGAGAGCTAAAGAGCTACTCAGAGAAATGGAGAAGACATTTCGTTGCTTTGTTTAACAGGGAAGAAGCCCAGAGGTTTCATTCTTGCAATTCGAACTTGGAACATATCCGGTGAAACGTCCCTTGGAGACAAGGCGTAAATAATTTGAATAAAAGTTTCTATCATCTTTCCCCCCCTTTTTTTAAAAAAAATTGTACGTGACAATATCAATTTTTAGCACTTATGGATCAATTTCTTATGTATTTGTTGATGCTCAAAGTCGCTGATTTTCGTTACTTACATGCTAATTGCTAGTTTTCACATGAAATTTATAAATGCATTTGGGATTTTTGTATGAACACAATATTGATAGGAAACTGAGTTAAATAAGATATGCTTATTTTCATAATTAAACAAAAAAATAAATTGATATCACATGAACAGACTTACCAATTTTTTTGGGATAAGCTAGATTTAAATTTTCCATAATTTGGACAAATTCATCCATTGTCTTTGTGAGTCTAGCATTGTACAATTTTTCCTCTCCAACAGTTGTGACCGTTAACCCTTAAAAAAAGAAAGCATGAGTGTAATTTTATATTCTTATTTTAATTTTTCCCTTGGGAAAAATTATTATTATGGGCAATGAGTGCAAAAGGTCTGAAAGCAGATTCACTTGAAATGAAAGATACTAAGACTGAGAGATATTGGAACACTGCTGAAATCCATTTTTCCCTCCATTACTTCCAGTCGCCCTTTTCCTAATTTCCCAACTTTCTTGACTCAGTTCCCTACTTGCGCTTTTTTCTCTTTCACCAATAACCCAAACTCCTTCTATTTAATATGACATCTAGAGAGCAAGCCACAGTTTCCCCAGTTCTTTTTCTAAAATATGATCAGTTCCTTCCTGACGCTACATTTAAAAGCCTTCAATATGATGAGGGTTTGAATTATTCGTAAATTTTAAGCGGTTAGTTTCTTTTCCTTACAAAAAAAGAGTTTGAATTCTCCAGTCTATACTCATCTCTTGGGGAGGCCTGAATAGAATACTTTCATTCCTTAACACTAAAAGAATCAGAAACAAGAGTTCCCTCATTTATCAAATCATCTTTTAATGATTTGAAGATCTTTAAAAGTAGATCCCATTTCATTTGAGCAATACCTCCACAAGAAATTTTTAAGATTTTGTAAATAGTAGGGTACCAAAGGCATTAGTTGATGATAGCCACGCCAATTCCAGTTTGCCACAGAGACAACTCATCCATACAACATGTAAAGTTCCAGCTCAAAACCCGCACCGTTATCTTCAGCCTCGTAAAATCTGAAAATTGGTTCTGTACATCTACGGTCGTATACTGTAATACAATGACTGCAACTAAAATATCAAAATTTACCTTTGTAATCGTGAGCAGGATATAATTTAAAATTGTCTGGCAGGGTGAATATCTGAGAATGTACTGAGTTGTACAACATTTTTGGACAACCTTCTTGAAAATCTGTTCTTCCACAACCTCGTATGAGGAGAGTATCACCGGTGAATGCGATACCTTGTTCATGAGAAACGTATGTAACACATCCTAGGATAGAAGAGAAATTACGGATAAAATATAGAAATTTAAAAAAAAAGTTTGCAATATGTGACTACTTTTGCTTGTAAACCATATGATTTTTTTCTTAGCTAGTAAAAAGAGAAAAGATGGGTAATAGGTTCGAGCTAAAAAGTAAAAAATTCCTCAATTTTCTTTTTGTTTTTTTGACTTCTTAGTGGCAATTGATCAGGGAAAAAAATTTAATTTCAACTTTCATATATTATTGATTTATCATATTGTTTATTTAAGCATTCATTTTCTTCCAGAAAGTCACTCGGTGCAATCCTGTTAAACTGGGTTCAACTAAACTACACTCAAACTTTTCTACAACCAAATTGAGCTGAGTACATGTCAATGTAATGGGTGGAATTGCTTCAGATAAGCCAATAAAAGAGATGGAATAATTTTCTTCTGCCACCGAAAAAATAAAATGATAAACTTCAAGAATTTACCATTTGTGTGACCTGGGGTTGGGCGCACTTCTAAACTGTGTCGACCAAACACTACAGAACTACCAGGCTCAACCAAAATGTCTGCTCGGGCTCCACTAGACTTTGCAATCACAGAACGACACTCAGGAATCATTCCCTTCAAAACTCCTGTGCCTGTTACATGGTCTGCATGAACATGTGTGTTCACTATCGAGAAAAAAACAAAACAAAAAACACGAGTTAAAAGATTGAAAAAAAACCCAACATGATTAATTTTAACTCCAGTTAGACAGTCCCGCAGCTGTACCTAAGTTCATTAGCTGGCTGTTTTAGTAAATCGGCAGTAAAACTACAAGAACGCGTATCTCATCTGCAGGATTTAAAAATCTTCTCTCTTCGTTAGATATTTCAAAAGAGAGCAAACCACAGCTATTGCTTGAAATTTTCACAGAGTGTTCTTCACATGCAACGGAAAAATTAGGGAAATTTTCAAGACATTAAGTATTTTACCAGCAAAAAAGTGAAGTACCTATAACAGGATGTCTGACACTTGCAAACCGAGATACACCTTCCTGAAATTTCTCTGTCACAATGTGCTTATCGGCCACCAAATATTTCAGTGAATGAATTTTGAATCAATAATTGAATGAATACAGTAGAAAATCAATCAGATAAATAAATAGTTTGATTCGGAGATTATCTTCTAAAATATTACAACAACAATAAAACAAAATTCATTTTTAAGAAATTCAAAGGCATAAAGTGAAAAAATTCTACCGATACACTGATGTCCTCTGACTGTAATTACTCACTATGATTGCGCAAACTCAGCATAGAAAATTTGATGCTAGATACGATTATCATGAGTTGCATGTTGTGAGACATAATTTGAGCGAAAATTTAGGTACATGCCCTTGCAAAAACAGAACAATTTCGCTCTAATTGTTTTACTTCATTATTTCGTGAACACTTGCCTCTCTGTGAAACAGCAATATAATGTCTGTTTTATTAGTAAAAGCATCTTCTGTACTTGATTAGTAACACGTTTTTGACACAATCCTTGATTACTCTGCGCCTATGTTTGTTTGAGCTTAAGGTCATAATTTTCAACTTACTGGCATATTTTAACTTCAGGTCGAGTTCCTTCAAAATTTGAAAATCTCGCTCGGCCAATTCAAAAACAGGATCAATCAGAACAGCTTCTTTAGAATTGACATCAGCTAGCAGGTAAGTGTAGGTACAACTTTCTCGGTCAAAAAACTAAAAAAAAGCAAATAAGAGAGTAAGTCCAAAGACATAAGTTAAAAAACATGTTGTCGAAATTCATTTTTCCCATAGAATGACCCCAAATCAGACATACAAAGCAACGATACTTTGTAACAGAGCTCACACAGTTCTAATAGTGTTGTCAGTATCCAAAAAAAGGGCAAATTTGTTGGTGTGTATCGGCATTCTGAAAAAAAAAAGTGCCAATAGCTTACTGACTGAGTAAGACTGTGGCCTTACGCTTGGGGTGATCTGTCTTCATTTGGAAAAATTCAGAGAAATGAAAGCAGAACCCTGATTGGGAAAACCTCCCATTCAATAAAGTCATCAATATCTGTACTGAATGCAAGGTTTTTTTCCAAACAGAATTCCGCTTTCATACCTCTGAATTTTGCAAATTTTTTGGCTCTGAATAATTCTTCAAGCTCATGCGCAGGGGCTTGTCCTTTTTATGACTAAAAATTTGAAATCTGAGATTTTGGACATAATCGAATGCAATACATCGCATGCCAGTTCACTTTTGCCTACAAGAGTGGAGGGGCCTTAACTGGTCAATTTGTGACGTCAAGCTAGTAAATATTTACCTACCAAAAACAACAAGCATCTCCGGGTCATTGGTGCATGAGGCGTGAGACGATCGCTGCAAGAACCAACCAGAGTGGCCCTAGATTGGCCGAAGTTGCATGAGCGGTGCGTTTGAATATGAGTGGAGTAACAGGTTTAGGTATTATGCTCACATTTCCTCAATTATCAGACAATGTCATACATGGGTTAGTTAATATTCAAAGTGAAATTTCATCCTCTTTTGAAAAGGTTCTTATGAATTTTTGCATCAGATCAACCCTCAAGAAGATATCGGCATGAAAGGAGCACACGTCAGGCATTCTCCCATTAGATCACATGTTAGACGACGGCCGAGTCTATCTACTAGCGTGATGTCACCAGAACGTAGTTACAGCCTTTCCATTCTCAATTCTCCTGTTAAGGCAACCCTTGACAAATCCCTTTAAAGGGCAGCATGAGTTCTGTCAACTCAATTATCTTGACATGAACATATAGAGCCGAAAGAGAGTGATCTTTCATTGCACTTTCGGATGATACAATCTATATCGGAATTACATCGCGACACTCGACAGTAACTTATCAAGCAGAATTGACATCACTAATTTGTCTGAAGTGAAAATCAGTTATGGTATATTCATTTACCTGTCTGAAGAGAAAATCAGGAGAGAAGGATATTTGAGTACTCATTTTCCGGCCAGAAGATGTTGAGACTAAACTGTAAATTGTGGGTAATATTGATCTAGAGTGAGAAGTTGCTCTTCTAAGGACACACAGCATTGTAAACTGATTGCACAACACACACAATTAGTAAAATCAGTGGAATTTATCTTCTTAGCTTATGATTCATGGTCCTTTAATATTATCTTCAAGATCACCACTTGAGGTTTATCAGTTGTCAGTCGCTTTCGCTCCTATTTGTTTTGCTTTGTGATTACGTCACGATACCGCTAGATGGCACTGCAACTATAAGGCGTTCCCATTGGTTCCCGCCAATTTCGTGCCGCGCTCGGCAAAATATACAAATTAACGCGCCAATTTTCAAATAAACGGGGACTACACTAGTTGAGCGCACACCGTAAATCTGCAATACTCGTTGCGGACGGTATGATTTAAATAAGGTACTTACATCTTCGGTTGGCATTAGTGTTCCATTACTCAGATCGGGCACGAATCGAAACCTTAGATGTATTGAGGTGGTGCATGATCTATAAAGTATTGATTAGGACTTGCTCCTGTAAAGTGAAGATAACTTGTTAGGTATACAGGGTGATTCAGATCACCCTTGCCAGGATTTTTCCTCGAATGCTTTCGGTCGCACGAAGTCAAGAATTGCGGGGTAGCACAGGGAATCGAAAAAGAGGAATCCGAATTTCATGATCCCGAAGCCCTCCCCCCCCCCTCCACACCACGGAAGGGCTCAATTTTTAAAGTCGGGGCTCCCTTCCGAATCGGAAATTGATTAAATTCAAAGAGCACAACACGTTTAAACCTTAATTGCCCCACAGGAGTTCAAATTCACCTATTCAACGTCCAATAGGGGCGCCTTGAAGAGGAGGCGGTGCGCCCTCCGAAACTTGCTCTTTGGTCATAAATTGACAATGCTGCCGTGCTAAGGAAGAACGCCTTATGAACATTCGAGAGTTGCCAAATTTCTCCGGATAAAATATGTATTTTTGAGGAAAGATATGTTAGATTGACTTGCGAACAAAATTATCTGATTTTTTTTTTTGNGGGGGGGGGGGGGGGTAGGTATTCAAAATGTTTCCAATTAATTCGGTTTTTAGTGGAGGAAATCTGGCAACGTCTGAAGGCGCATACGGCGTTTTTCCTTAGCACTGTAGAATGGTTCTTCGTTTTTTATTTATTTTGCTGGAATCGCATTATTGCTGCGCTATCGTGGTGCGAATTCACACTTGAGTGGCAAGGTCACTTGATTGCTTTTAAAGGAGATTGAGAGCCCCTGATATCACAGCGGTTGACGGGAAGATTAGCTAAACTTTCCTTGGTCCATGCGCTGTTTTGTCGTCTATATCACTCGCATTCATTGATCAGATACGGCATTCTCCGTCTCGTCAGAGGGTCGCTTGACGCACATACACACCCTCAAAAATACAGCCTTGGGCGCACCGAAAAAAATAATATGCTGTTTCAGCATCTAGTATGTCAAAAATGTGTCTGGTGATCCCAAGATGCTGCCTTTACTGCCCCCGCAGTTAATTTTACATCCTGTGAATGCTAATTCAACTGTGGGGGCAGTAAAGGCAGCATTTTGGGATCACCAGACACATTTTTGACACCCTAGATGCTAAAACAGCATATTATTTTTTTTGGTGCGGTATTTTTGCTGTGGTGGTAGTAGTGGCAGTGAGGATTCGTGACAGCAAGACTAATGAATTGGTTTTTGTCAAGAACTTCGGAAAGTACGACGGGTAACGGGAATGATAGGTTCAACTTAATCTCAGTCTATACGCTATTTCGTCGCCTATCGCTCCCATTAATGAGATGCAGCATTTAGTGGTTTGAGAAATGAGGAAAGGAAAGGTTTTCTTTCATATTCATATGATATCACACATCACCAACCTACTCCGAAGTCCGAAAAGGAGGGCGCTTGATTTTGGCAATGATGTGGGCATAATGCCTTCATTCAAAAGCGTCAGTAATTTCATTTAGGTGAGAAGCTAAGATTTCCCTTCATTTTCATGTGATACCACAGCGCATACCCGCTTCGGCGTCCTAATAGCTGCGCGCTTGAATTACCTACGCAATGAATCACGAAGTAAGACCTCCTGATGGGCCAGTTGCGCTGGTAACAGAATTGTGTTTTAATGCTTGATTATTGTGGATTAGCTAAGAATAATAAGATCTGTCCAAACAGCAACTGTCTACGATGAATATTAACCGAGATATCGTCTTTTGAAAAGTCGGGTTTTTGACGTCATCCATCGCGGTAGTGCCATGCTATGTACATACCACCGCGCTGGATGGCGTCATAAATCGAGTATATCAAGGTGCGATGCCTCGGTTAATATTCAACGCAGAATGTTGCTGTTTGGACAGATCATATTATTTTTAGTTGATTTGCAAGAATAAAGCATCAAAACAAGATTCTGTTACCAGCGCGACTGACCCATTGCTTTTGAATGCGAACCCCTTGAAGCGCAAGCGGATAACAGAAAGATCCACTCAACTAATCTTCGTCCATACGCTCTTTTGTCATATGCCTCTCGCACACATTGAACAGATGCAGCATTCTTTGACTTGTCAAAGATTGGCGCACACACACTCGCAAAAAATACAGCTTCAGGCTCAATCTTTTTAACTGTGTGTAGATGAACGAATGGAATATTTCAATGACATATTTGCAAGCAAACACTGTATCATGACAAATTCCAGTCAAGTAATAACATAGTGAGTGACTCGGAATTTATTGTGGAGGGGGAAGAAGAGCACTGAAAAAAATCCCAGGTTCCGAGTAATTAAATTACAGGCTGTGTAGAAATTTTGTCTGTTCTAGGTTCAGAGGACAATAATCTGTCTGTACTGACTTCTAGGTAGCAAATTTTAAAATAAAACTAACTCCGATGTGCTTGAGAGGGAAAGTAGAATTTAGAAATAAAAACAAACGATGAAACTTATAAAAAATTTAGATTCTCTGAGAATAAAACAAGTTAAAAGGAAGAAACAAAAAATAAAAGCTAACAAAATCAACAAAATCATTAACAATTCAAATAAATCGAATTAAAAATGAATATAAAAAAGATTGACAGCTTGGCTTACTTACACTCAAAGATTAAAAAAGGTACAGGTTACGATTGTGGAATCAAGTAAGTACAAGTAAAAATCGGTGTGATGAACGCAAAATAGGAGTAAAAAGTGTGTTTCAATAAATTAGCTCATTCGATCCATAATTACTATCTCAGTTTTCATTGGCAAACAGATAGAAATAATAAATAATAATGAATAAATAATTAAAATAGTTGGTAGATTTTAGATAGGGCTGTGCGAGCCTGGTTTTTTGGATTCGAGCCGAGTTCGAGTATTTTTTCACTAAGTCGAGCCGAGTTCGAGCTTTTTCGAGCTTTGAAAATGACCCTCGAGCCGAGTCGAGCTCGAGTCGAGTTCGAGTAATTTCGAGTTTTAAAACGTGATTTAATCTATTTTCTACAACAAATAATTTCAAACAAGACTCATAATATGATATTAATAATTATTGGCGATGACACACTAGGAAGGATTTACACTAAACTTACAAAATGTTCGGCAGTAACGCGTTAAAATAACTTCCCGCGGTTTAATTTTGAAAAGAGGACAAAACTTGGCAAGAAGCGGCGTGGCGCGGCGTACATGAAAGGAACTTCGGGCGGCACAAGTAAAGGCTTTAGAGCCCATTTATGCACGCAATTCGTGTCGCCGGCGGCAGTTGTCGCCGCGACGTTTTTTGGAATCGCGCGACTCCTATTTTTGTAGCCGCAGCACCTTTTTTCTGCCGCCGCGACACCGTTTTTCTGGAGCGCAAAAGGTCCAAAACACGTGCTCACTTTCAGTTTTCCAAGCGGCGGTCGCCGCCGCAGGTTGAAATTTGTCGCGCGCATAAATGCGCTCATATGACTCCGTGTAGTTACAAACCGCGCGCGCGGCAGGAAATCGCCGGGCGGTAGCGTGTTCGGTGTTGGCGCTGCGGATGGTAGAAATTTGCCGACGAGACTCTGATGTTATTCAATCGTAAAATGATGGCAAAACTAACAATAGTTTAAGTATGATTGAAATGTTTGGAAGTTGGACTCTTTCGGCGTTTCCGGCTCAAAAAAACTCGAAATACTCGAAAAAACTCGTGTTGTTGACACTCGAGCCGAGTTCGAGTACTCGCTCGAACCTAACGTAACTTTCGAGCCGAGTCGAGTACTCGATACTCGGCTCGACTCGACTCGAAATTCGAGTACTCGCACAGCCCTAATTTTAGAGTAACTTGTTAAAAACATTTATAAATTATGACATCAGACTTACAGTTAACTAGTATAAAAACTTCCATCATTCATAATGATGAAACTGCAGATCATAGCAAAAATACAAAATATTACTACACAACTTCAATATCAACATTAATAAAAATTTAAAAATTTGAGTTTGACATCAATCAAATAACTTGATTCTGAGAATATATAAGTAATAATATTTACAAAATTTATAACATGAAAAATTCACACTCCTGAGGGATCGTTTCTTGTAATGGAGCGGTCTTTACTCAAGACAGAAAAAACAATGATCCATTTAAAATAAGGCATAAAACATCAGCAATGTAACGGTTTTGTACAGTTTGCATTACTCAGGAAGATTTGAAATTTTGTTTAACAAGTGAACTTTTTATTCCTCAATTGTTAGTAATAGATCGTCTCCTTCTAATCTCATGCCAACATTGATATCAATAGATTTAACCACACCAGCGACCGGTGCCTGAACAACCATCTCCATCTTCATGGCGGAGAGGACGACTAGGGCAGCTCCTTTTTCAACTTTGTCTCCTGGTTTCACCTTAATTTCCATAACAGATCCAGGCATTGGAGCACCAACTTGTCCCTTCACTCCCTTGGCTGCTTTTGGATGAATGTGCATCTCCTTGACGGCTTCCTTGTCCTTGATGAATACGGATCGAAGTTGACCATTCATTTCAAAGAAGACCTCTCGTTCTCCGTTCGGGGTCAAATCTTCAGCAATAGCTAATGCTTTGATACCTAGGGTCTTTCCTTTCTCGATTGTCACCTCGAATTCTTCACCAACCTTTGGTCCAGTTAAGAAAATTCTTGTGTCTAATTTATCAACAGGTCCGAAATCTTCACGGAAGTTCAGGTAGTCCTCTGTGACGGTTGGGTATAGGGCTGCACTCATTACGTCTCTGTCTGAAGAGTATGGGTGACGTTCTTTAAGTTCGGTTTTGAGCTTATCGAAATCGAAGTTAGGCAGGCTGGCACCGGGTCTTCCTGAAACTCTGGGCATATCCTTCAGGACTTTAGAGCGTAGGGGCTCCGGGAATCCTCCATAGGGCTCTCCAATTGATCCTTGCAAGAACTCAACAACTGATTTTGGGAAGCTCAATTCTTCCGCCTTGCTCAGGACATCATCAGCAGTTAGTTTGTTTTGTACCATAAACTGAGCAAAATCGCCAACGACCTTGGAGGAAGGTGTGACCTGAAGACATAAAAAGATCAGCAAAGAGTTAAATTATGTTACTCTAAAATCATACAAAAACCTCAACAGTCGATACAATTTAAGACCTACAGCAACTTATTACCTACAATATCTTAGATGAAGTCAAAACAAGATTTATAATTTTAGTTATTCTAATTGAGTGACTTTTCATCTTATGCTACATTAAAATAATGCTGTACGTACAAGATAATAAATAATAATTAATATGGGGTGCTAAGACTTGGGGGTTAAATGAAATGTGAAACAAGTTTTTCTAAAGAGGTTCTATTCTCTACATAAGAGGGCGATAACTTCGTTAATACTGTACATACAAACTAGGCATTTAGACGGATCTTACTATTTTTTGCTGATCCATGAGCTTAAACCGTCAAAACACGATTCTGTGACTAGTGCATCTGAACTTTTTTAGGCAAATAGACTGCAGTGTTGCACAGCGGGATAGCATCCTTCCACATAGAACGGTTATGACTAAAATAATAGTGCTGATACTGACCTTGATAATATCACCCAATAGTAGGTTAGCTTCTCTGTATGCTTTCTTAACATCCTCAAAGAAGTCGCCAAGTCCAAGGGAGTATGCTTGGAATTGTAAGTTTGTGTATTGTCCTCCGGGAATTTCATTGAGGTATACATCTGCATTTCCGGACTTCATTGTAACCGTACACTCGAAGGGTGCATATAGGGTCCTAGCCTGTTCCCAGTATGCACTGTATGCAGAGACGTCAGTCAGTTTCAAGCCTGAAAATGAAGAAATAATTAAGCGTTCATTAGTTTAATGGATTATCCTTATATTGATGATAAAACTGCGAAAACAAGAGACTTGTTTACAGTGTTTCAAAATCTCTGCTCCCATTATTACTTATAACAAGAGAAAAAACCAATGCTGTTGCTTGAAATTTTCACTGAATATTCTTTACACAAAAAAGAAAAATCAGGAAGGTTTCGAAAAAATGACGTTGAGTATTTTTTCGATTGAAAAATAAAGTATAAAAGAAAGTTTCGAATGTTGCAAACCAAAATACCCAATCGTACGATTCCACCGTCGATATTTAGAATGAAAAGTTGATTCAATTCAGTTGTAATTGAAGAAAAGTCCAGAATGACAATACAAAGCTACTTATCTATAATAATTTTGCAGATGACTGTTGTACCTACACTAGTTTGTAAAAAATCATGAGTTGTTACAACTTTAATCATTTGTCTTCTCCAAGTGCCACTTGAAATGTTAAAATCAGAATGGACCACTAGACAAGGTACGAATTTCAGCATTCTGATACATGATTCTTGACCAAAATTTCACGTAGAATAAGACGCGCATAACGAAAATCACCGAAATCAACTCCTGACTAAGATATTTAATGATTATTGATGCGTGAATTCAAACCACCCACTCATGAAAACTCAATGCTCTGCGTGATTCACCTCGCGCGCTAAACGTTATCATGACAGTCTCTGCGATATAAAAATCTGACAACCTCAATCTTGACGCTTTGGTTCAGCTGTAGCAAATTGCTTATAGTTTGAACAACACATGATGGGAAATGAACATTACTCGATTGAGAAGCTTGTTGAAACCGTGGTAGTGCGCGATTTGACTCACGTAGAGCTTTGAGTTTCTTGTGAGCGGGCAGTTCAAATCCCTCGTAACCAATGTGACATAAAAACGTTAATATTTTCGTTTGGAGTTTGTTTCATTAGTTTTCGTTGCGCAAATCGTGTTCTACGTGAAATTCTGGTTAAGAAACATGTATCAGAATGCTTGAATTCGTACCTTGTCTAGTGGTCCATTAATAAGGTTTGAAATGTTAAAATCAGAATTAATAAGGTTTAAGGATCAGTGTTTTCAAACCTTTTTCAGAGGAGACAAACAAATGCATAATTTATACCTGTATCAATTGGAGATCCTTGCAGAGAGGCAACAACAGCTCCCATGGAAGGTTGTGACGTCATTCCAGACATGGAGTCAACAGCAACATCTACGACATCCGCACCTGCTTCGGCACAGGCTAGCATAGAGGCTACTCCAGCTCCACTAGTATCATGAGTATGGATATGGATTGGTACATCAGGGTGTTTCTCTCTTATGGCTCCAATCAGAAGTGAAGCTGCTCTGGGCTTTAGGAGTCCAGCCATATCCTGATCGCACAAACAAAAAAAATTATTCCATGCTCAAGGCGGAAACATTTCTTAATGAAATAACATTTCAATGGAGATTTTGCACAGAAAAATTCTATTGCTTCATCTGAGTCCTTAATGAGTTGAGTTCACAGTGTTTTTCATAATTTCTTTTTTTGATATGGGAAAAACTAAAAAAGTAGGTTTAAAAGTGAGAAAATGTGCCACCTGAAGACATCATCTGGCGGCATTATCTATTTAAACACAGGAATTTCAGCAGATGAGGTTATTTCGTCATATCTCCTTGTCTCATTCTCAAGCTCTCTTAGCAATTTAATTTTAAACATGCTTACAAAATTTCAGACACATGCAAATTCTCCATTGAATTCTTTGTTGGAGGGTGTAAACAAGTGAGTTAGATGATAATTCTGATGCTTGCAGGAGCTTTGTCTTTTGAATGGCTGAGTGAGAAATCGACTGAAACCAAGATCAGCTCATTTGAACAAGAATTGGCCAGTTAAGACAATTTGAATGAGGGAAATATGGCAACCTACGTTTCTTTAAAAAATAGTACATGAAAGTCGCTCCAACAATACACTCTAGCGTCCTGCGACACCCAAACGCCACAAGTGCCTATTTTACCAGAGGTTATCCCGCAACCCAAAACGCAACATTTCTTCGTCAACGCTCTGCTGTCATCCCTTCATGGACGACCTGTTGCCTTTTTTTTAAAAGAAAAAAAAATTAAATTCTCTAAAAAAAAAGTGCTTGTAAAATCTTCATATGATGAGAAAAAAGTCTCTTACTTTGATACAAAGAACATGAGTTCCAGCTTTCACCAATTCGTTTGCTAAATTCTGATAATATTTGAGATCATATTTTGTACGAGTAGGATCAGAGACATCTCCAGTGTAAGAAATTGCCGCTTCAACAACCCCACCAGCCTTGCCGGCAGCTTCCATTCCTAATATTAAGTTGGGGAGATAATTCAGGGAGTCAAACACTCGGAAGATATCCATACCAGTTTGAACTGAAAGTTCACAGAACCTGTGGATGGAGAAAATGAAGAAAGTCGTCAAACATATGTACAGTGGATTACCAGACAAGGCCAGAAATTGAGCATTGAGAAACATGTTTTCTCATTAAAATTACATATTCAGCACAGTAGACTAATTGAAAATTTCCAGTTTTAGTTTGTGAGAAAAAAAATCAGCGGTTTTCATTCAGTTCATTCGAACTACTTTATAATTGCCGAGAAGACCGAATTTGACAGGAATCAAATTAGACTTACTTTCAACTCATTTTGGTAACTTTTACAATGAAATAATTTTGTACTTGCCCAAAATCTTTTTTGACACATTTAAAACTCCCATACATCAAAGGACAAAAAAAGTTTTCGAAATGGAAGTCCGATCATTAGAGATCTTATTGAGACAAAGAGAGTGTGTTCTGATAATATTATAAAAACCCAATTTTTCAACCGGACATTTTGAAAGTTGCTTGCGTATAACATTTATTTCAATGTAATTAAAATCCATTCCCATTCCATAAAAATACAAACTGACACTTAAATTCTTGATTAAAATATTAGATTAACTAAAGGAAGAAAAAATTCTTACTTGTACACCACGTTGTCAGGATAGTTGGTATAACCAACGGCATTTGCTCCTCTGAGCAACATTTGGAATGGAATATTTGGAATTGCTTTCCTCATGTCCTCTAAACGTTCCCAAGGACATTCGTGTAAGAATCTTAATGCTACATCAAAGGTGGCACCACCCCAGTTTTCTAATGAGTAGAGATTATTGAAATTGTGCGCTACGAATGGTGAAATACGAAGGATGTCTCTTGATCGAACTCTGGTGGCAAGAAGAGACTGGTGAGCATCACGGAATGTTGTGTCCATTAGCATCAACTGTTTGTTTTGGCGGACGGCCTTAGCAAAAGCCTCTGGACCCTCAGATTTCAGGATATGACGGAGTCCTTTTGGAGGCTCAGCACCTGTTGGAAAAATACCAAATTCGCATTGAGTTTTCTTAGAGTGTTTGTCAAACGGCCCGCGAAAATTAGAGAGTAGACATCCAAAGGAAAAACTAAACGCATTCAAAAATTTAGTCAAGACTATTTTGAGTTTAGAAACAGCTTTGATCCAACTTTCACAGAGCAAACGTACATTCACAAATAAATAAATTGGCAAGGAAAGAAAGTAAGAAAATCGCAGTCTGCATATTTTCAGATTTCGGTGCATGACATAGACATGCTCAGCAGGCTGATCATTGAAATTGATAGACAAGGTGACAGGCAAAGAAGGCGTAGGGAGTATATGGAGCGATCCTATTGGTTGAAATGGGTGATTCCTATAGACTAGGGGAGAAAATTATGGACTGACTTTTGGGTCTCTCTCGAGTTGCTGTTAGTCAGTCTATTACCTCCTTTATCCATTGCAACCACTGGCTTCTACCAATAAGATACCTCCATATTCTTTTTTCTTCTTTGTCTATCACTTCGTCTAGCAATTTTAATGATCAGCCAACAGTTTGTGATTAGAAAAAAAAGAAAGCAGGAAGAAAAAGGAAGCTTTTCTCTTTCTTATTGGTTTCAAAATTATTAATTTAAAAGATAGACGGGTAACAAGTATTCGATCTTTCTGAGTGCAGAGCTCCACTTAAAAACAGTCACAATAAAGCATACTTAATGTCAGTCTGAAGACAACATAAATCACAAAATGAAAAGATCAGTCATTGAGTGCTCACTTTTCCGCATATAAAAAGGCGCTTGTGGATCAGGACCTAGGGAAAAAATTCACTTTTTTTACAATATGTACATCTTTTTTCAACTATTGATACCCTCTTTTTTATGACGTTTCAAAACTGAAAATTTGCTCTGAAAGAGCTTGCTCCCTTCTTTAATGCCCTGGTATAGATAAGATTCTGAAATCATGCATTAAACCTAACTAATTCATAAGAATTCGAATTTTTGAATTTTGATAGAGTAAGTATAATCCCTTTAATATATCAGTGCATGACTTTGGTTTTTTGGTATTGCGTTTTTCAGAGTTAAACATTTTCCCATTTGCTTCACCAGACAAAATTGAACAGACATCACCTTAAGCAATCAAACCAGAAGGTTCTTTAAGCAGGTGTTAGAATATTAGAATTAGAGGGAAAGAGAAAAAAAGTGGGTTAAGTTTTACTATGAGTCTGCATTTTTTTTTATCCTCTAGAATCTCCTTTGGAACTCTGGAGAGGTATTAAATCATTTCTTCACATTGTCCCCTTCTGCACAGAATCTCACAAGTACCATTTATGATTGGATGCTATGTTACCGGATAATTAAAAATTGTTTTAATTTTTTCTTTAAAACTTTTTACGCATTTTTATGAAAATTTCAGGAATTAATATTGCTGATGAAAGAAATCTTAGGTAAAATTTTTGAGTGATTTTGTTCCTTAGTTTTTCCGAAAAGATTGGACAAGTTAGAGAAATTCAGCAACAAAACATTTAAGCGAAAATGGCGCTTGTGATTTTCTTCCCAGAAAATGACAGCATATAATCAGAGTCGAGAAAAGACAGACTTCCCTCTAGGAATAACAGAAATTAATGGTAAAAGGCTTGACAGATACATAACGAAGAAGGTTAGTTATCAAACTTCCAGAAGACTGTAAAGGGTTGGAAGGATGAATTTGAAATCAAACAAGATTTAACAAATGAAGCAAATGCAATACATACCAGCAGGGGTTTCTGGAACTAATGGGTTGACCTCTGCTGGCTTCAAGTTGGTGGCAAGTGGCGTTGAAGGGCCATTGACTAGAACAGAACCTAAGTAATTGAGTAATTTCTGGGCACGATTGCGTGTTGGTTGCAGGTAGAATAGTTGAGGATTTTCATCAATAAAATAAGTATCCACTGCTCCGTTGATGAATTTTTGGTTTTCTAATACGTTCAACAAAAATGGAATGTTTGTCTGAAATGAAGACAGAGAAAATGAAGAATAAGTGCAGATCAAAGGGTAAATAAGTTGGTTCTTGCAAAATTTGTTCGTGCTTGGACAATTTCACGAAAAGCAGAAGTAGATTTTTATAAAATGCAATGTGTATTTTCTTCTGAAAATAAAATACACATCTCTTGATTTCTTTGAGACATTTTTAGACTACTTGGCAAAATTAAGGCGATAATTTGTGATTTGATCTGATAAGATTATAAGAATCAGGCCATTTTTTCATGATTTAATAAATATATACCTATAAAAAAAAAAAAACTAGTTAAGATGACCAGTAAATGGACTAAACTCCCATGTTCCCCTAAATTACCTTATCAATCTATTGTTGAAGAATGAATGCCTCCTTAAGAGACGTGAAAGAGCTGTAACACACCATTTTCCTTAACTTATGTAAAAAAAAAAAAGATGGTGTGACAATAAAAAATGCATCTTTTTTTTTTTTTTTTTTTTTTTTTTTTTAAAGTTTGGAATGAATATGAACAAAACACGACGTACCTTTACACCTCTAACACGAAATTCTCGTAGAGCACGGTTCATTTTTGCACATGATGCTTGTAAATCACCAGCATGAGCAATAACCTTGACTAGGAGGGAGTCATAGTATGGGGAAATAATAGCACCAGCGAAGGCAGACGCTCCATCTAGACGGATTCCCATACCTTCACCGCTTCTGAAAACCTGTAGCAAAATGGCAGAAAATATTACCAAGTATACAGGAACGAAATTATCATGATAATTTTGAATTACTTGTTCTGTTTTCTTATCTATTAAATCTGTGTTACTGGAGAACACAGGTCAACTACTGCAAAAGATTAATGGCTATAATTCACAAGAGTAAAGCTGTCCTTGAAGATTCTGAAATTTTACCATTGTATGCACAACTACAGGAAGAATGATGACATTCTCTTTCAATGTACTTGGAGGTGTCTTAATTTCAGTCTTTTGGATTCGAATTGTTTGATCTATCGATACTGATTGAAATAATCTTCACTGTAGTTCAGAATTTTTGATGGGATTAAAAATGGACGTGTTATTGAATGTAAGCCTAATCAGTCATAATATATGGAACTTGTTTTCGATCTCAAATATAAGGAGCAGACATTGGAAATTACCTCAATTCGACCAGTATCTGGTTGGAAATTCTTGGCAGGATCTTCAGTTGTGACACGACACTGAATGGCATATCCTTGTGGTTTGATGTTTTCTTGTTTTAATCCTAATTCAGGGAGAGTAATTCCTTCGGCGATTTTGATTTGAGACTGTACTAAATCAATACTGTAAAAAAATACAAGTAAAAATTGAATGCCAGTAACATCTGATAAACTATAAAGACATTACAAGAATGATTACTTTGTTGCATAAATATTTTTTTACTTAATTTTTTTAAATTTTTCTTATATGCCATAGCACCTGAAATTAAAAAAAGAGGTCCTACGTTCAAAAACTGGACAGGTTCATTTTTACATGTGCCATTTGTGCAATCAAAATTTCCTTTTTCTATTGTCAAGTTTTTTCCTCTTCCCATTGATGAAACTTTCAAATTGTTAAAGATACAAAATTAACTTATTCAGCGCGAAAAATAATATAAAAAGCAACTTGGTCCCTGACTAGATTGTTTTTCATATTATTTATTGCAGCTCCAATTACTTTTCTTCGGGATCACTAATTGAAATATAAATGAGGCCAGACAAGAAGCTTTCGAGTAAGGAATTATGCACCGATTAAAGATTAGGTAAGAGGCCTTCAATTGAGATGGACTAGCGATGAATAATTACCCAGTAATTTCCTCTGTGACAGTGTGTTCTACTTGTAACCTAGCATTCACTTCAATGAAATAGAAATTTCCTCCCTCGTCTGCAAGGAATTCAACTGTTCCAGCATTAGAGTATCCTACATGTTTGGCTAGTTGTACGGCGAGATCAGTCATCTTCTGGCGCACCTGTAAAATGAATGTGAAATGAAAATAACAAAAATATTGACAGGAATTATTAACTGAGAGCTACATCTTAAGGAGTGTCCAGACTTTTTTGCCCAGAGATTTTTGCAAGGGATACAAAACTCCAAATCTAATTTCTGTTGTTTGCATGGGAGCCTGTAGGTACTGGTAGCGGAATTTAGATTAAATTATCATTATCATTCCTCTAATTTTGATTGATATTTTTTGAGAACATTAAAATAAAAGGTATTTTTGAGCATGCAGTTTGATACTTTTTAAATATAAATTAGTTAAAAATTAAACAAGAGTATTTCTTCTTGGGATACTGTAAATCACTGCTCATGTTTTACTTTTTCAAAGAAAACTAACTGACATTTTTCTTTGAAATATAAGAAAATTTTGTCATTTATTCAAGAATTTTCTGAGAAAATCTAGAGGAGACATTTATGTCAGTTGTATTTCAAGAAAATGAAACATAATCGGAAATCTCTTAGTCCTTGCACCTGATGGAAATAGGTGACCGGTTCTACAGAGATTTTATCTCCCCGGAAAAAATTATCCCCAGCTTTTTTCCAAGAACTTGAACCATAACATTCTCATTCTACAATCTGAGAATTTTTGTGTCAGAATTTACTCGCATCTCCTTCAATTTTAGAAGTTTCAGGACCAAACTTGCATCAAAATTTCCAGATTTTCTTCCTCTACACGTCTGAAAAACACAGAAAAAAATGATATTGCTGATTTCACAACTTTGTAGTTAAAAAAGTGTCCCACATGTTTCAATGTAGATTTTACAATAAAAAATGCTAAATTAACCACCCCTGTGGTTGAAGTAGCTTTCCACTATTGTAAAATGTACATTTGAGACTTATGGGTCATATTTTTTAACAATTTAATTATTAAATCAGCAATCCATTTTTTCCCGTGTAAGTTGAGGAGTATTTTCTCCTGTAGGATAGGGCGCTTTTTCACAGATTGGGTGGCCTAAATGTGCCTAGAAATCTTACTGAATTTTCTTTCCTTTCACTGAGAGATGATATTGTGGCAAGTTATACCCATTACTTGACACTAAATATTCCTTTAAACTATACAAATTTGCAAGTATACTTAGGCTCGTGGAATTCTAAGTATTTACTGAAGATGCTGTATTACCTTAGGGTCTAGATGAGGTGCAGGTGCTATTTCAACAACTTTTTGATGCCGCCTTTGGACTGAGCAATCTCTTTCATACAGATGAACTACATTTCCTGCTTTATCTCCTAGAAGTTGAACCTCAATGTGTCTTGGTCGTTCGATGAACTTTTCGATAAACATGGCACCATCACCAAACGCAGCTGCAGCTTCTGAACTTGCGCGGCGGAATGATTCCTCTACTTCCTACAAGAGAAAAACAGATTTATTTGATCCACCGAAACATTTGATAATTTTGAAGCTTTGTAGATTTGTTTTAACATTGATTCACACTCAGTTTTAAAATTTCAAGGGTAACTTTTTTTCTACTAAAGCCATTTTAAAAAGAGTGCGCAATGGATGATTGGAACTTTAGCATTCAAAAAAGACATTTTGGAACTTGTATACAAGTGTTCAGTGAAATTTTTGAATGATTTATATTACAAATCGACGGTGTAAGTCGGCAATCACATAACTCGTTTGCGGTGTCTGAAAATCTCCGCCTCTATGGTATATTTTTAAAGGAGAAAAAATTGACATCATTCCTTGAAGTTTTTGCAGAATTTTCCTCTCACCGAAAATAAAAATCACGGCAGTTTTAAAGAAATACTGGTGAGTAGTTTTCCGTTAAAAAAATAAAGTATGATAGGAAGTCTGCAATGTTGCAAACCGAGTTATGTGATTGCCAACTTACACCGTAGAAATATTGAATTGCTTGAGCTACCTATCGATGATACATGGTTACAGAGCGGATGTAAACCAAAGTTAAAGTCAATGGTGGCTAGTGATTGTAGGTATTTTAAAGTATTCTTTACCTCCATTTTCCTAACGACACGCATTCCTCTACCACCACCTCCATAGGCTGCTTTGAAAATGACTGGAAGCCCATGCTTCAGACAAAATTGCATGGCTTCATCTGTTGTCGTGACTGGTCCAGGTGTACCTACGAAAGCAGAATACGAAAATGAATAAACCAAAGAAAAGCAGAAAAAAATTACAATGGAGTAGAGATAGGTATTGCAGTGTTGTCCAACTATATCAGGTCAAAATTTTGAAAAAGTTGATAGGTCTGTTAGGGCACAGAGTTTTTAACCTTTTGCTTCAAGTTGATTATAATGTATTAGGTACCAATTTGATAGGATTGGTTAAATAGAGATACAATTTTATCGACCAAATTAGTTAGAACAATTGCCAACGGTGAAGGCACAGGGACAGGGCCGGATTTACGTTTTTGGCGCCCTGTGCAGAAATTTTCGAGGCGCCCCCCTCGCACCCCCCCCCCCCCGCCCGCGCATTTCCCAACCCGACAGTCTTCTTTGGTTACTACGTGGTAACTCTAACTAAATACGAATTTTTCAAGTGAGTGAATGATTCTGGGGCAGAAACCAAAACCAGGTACCTGTTCCTGTTACTGTTAACTACAAAATTAAGAGAAAGTTTGACCCTTAAAGTCTAGGGTCAGGTCATTTAAAAGATGGAACTCAATAAATTAATGGTTCTTTGATGTAATTTTGCAGAAGAAAATTCCGGTGGGACAAAAATAGGCATTTCATATGCATGCACATATGGAGTAATAACATGCAATATTTACATTGTTAATGTTGTTTCGCTGTTGTTGTCTGTGTCTCCATTGCCTTTCAACAATCAATCAACAATCAGAGTTTCTGAACTTTCAACGCAATTCTCAACTTCTTGCAGAGTTTGGAAAAAAAAACCCAAAATTTGGCGCCCCTCAAAATCTGGCGCCCTGTGCAGCTGCACCGATGCACCATGGGTAAATCCGGCCCTGCACAGGGAATTTGCAGAATTACAGAGGCATGAAGAGTATCTAACCTGGAACAATAGGAACACCACTGTCGATGGCTGCTTGTCTGGCAGCGACTTTATCTCCCATCTGCTGGACGACATGAGGAGATGGACCGATGAATCTAATTCCAGCATCGATCACAGCTTGTGCAAAGTCTGACCTCTCTGACAGGAAACCGTAACCTGGATGAATGGCATCTACATCATTTTCCTGTGGGTAAAACATACTAGGTGTCAGTAAATCGTAAATCTAAAACGTTAAACACAGTCACTTCTTAGTGAGTTTAGGGTTGAAATCTTCTTGCATCTTATCTCAACCTCGGAGGCTTACTCCTGGTGCAACAGATTTATTTGACAATAAAATGTCTATACCCATATACCTATCTAAACGATGTATGAAAGTACTACAGCCACCAGTATATGATTATGAGGGAAAAAATTAAAGTACTCGTACATCTGATCGATGAACATCTTTAGCTAGTCCTAACAGTCTTAACTTCTCATTTGAAAAAGTAGGTAACTATTAGACATACCTATCAGCAAATTTTGTTCTCCAGATGATTGTTGAAATTTTAATGAAGATGGAACAATTTTAGTAACACCCTTGATTTCACACATTATTTTAAATCGATAAAGAAATCTGCGTGGAATACATAAAGAAATAAGCTGTTCGCAATGTTTGTTTACATGCACGCGTCGCGTGCTGCGCATGCGCCATGAGCGCTGTGCAATTCATGAATGAACCCACCCAAATCAGAACGGACCAATGAGAGACCAAGAATCCGGGTCATCGTACTCATCGTAGTACGCTAGTAGTACTAGGCGTAGTATTTTGTAGTGAACGTTGCCAGATCGAATGAGGAAATAACGGTGAAAGCTTTCTAGGATGGGAAACATGATAATATACCCTAGATTCGATAGGAAATTAGCATTTTCTTATCTTTCACACTCTGACTATATGAAAACGAACGAAATCTCTCGGAAAATAGCGTTATTCGTCAAAATCTGAAATTGGGTTAAATCGAAATCGGCGAAAAAGCCCCTCCTGGTGTGGATTTGGACCAATTTCTAGCATATTATTTGACTGCATCGGATGCACATTTTTGCAAAATTTCAAGGCTTAAAATGAATTTCTTTTCGCGCAGCAGCGTTGCCGAATGTAAACCTGTAAAATTCCACGTCTACCAAACGGAAGAAGATTTTGAAGTGCGGTTTGCACGAAAATTCTTCTGATAATACGATCTGTCAGAACACATCATTAAAGTTGAGGTTTTATTAATTTAAATCTGCAGTGTTGTCACTTTTCATATTTCTTCCTGGTCAATTTTTTTTAAAAAAGTTCCGTATATTATCAAATGCTTCTTTTCAAAATGAAACAAAAAACTTTTCATTGAATTAATCGTAATTTTCCGGACGTTTTGATACGTCATACTCTCCAGGGAAATAACGCAGGCGAGAGTTATGAGCGTTTAAATATTTCGCTCCACGCGCGCCGACAGAAACCCGGGCGCCGCGCGCCGCTTGCAGCTTCAAGTTTATCTCCTTGCCTCTCTGCTCTATAGCCACCGACAAGCTCATGGCGGTGCGACAAGTCAATCCCATCTCCTTCCGATTCAGTTTTACCCTGCTGAGCCCCCNCCCCTAAAAAAAAAATCCTGTCTTATTTCCGCTCGTACAAGACTCTACTGCAGCTTATTCCAATAAATTAAAATGATGGAATATCATTACTAATGCGGCAACTCGTAAAAACGTTCCAATCTATTTAAAACGAAACATTGTAGAGCAATTTTGAACTTTGTGAAAAATGTATGGCTCCGACGGGCCCTCAAAATGTTTAAATTTGGCAACATCTTTGCATTTTTGCCAATCATTGAGGGCTAATGAATAAAAAATTAACGAAGGAAAAATCAAACGACCTAACACAATTTCCTCTTTTTTAATTTTACGTGTAGAGACGGCAAACTTATCATTAATTTCAATATGCAGTTACGCAGGCTTTGATTGAAGAAGAAGAAGAAGAAGAAGAAGAGTAAGTTCCTCCTTGCGGATTTAATTCTGTCCCTTTCGCCCTTTCACTCTGCATGCGAGACTAATTTTTCCCGCCAAAACCTTGCGCTGAGCGCGCAGCCAATGAGATTCCTGATATGAGAAGCGCGTGGAATTCAAATTGACGCGTGATTGATGCGCGAGCAAACAGGCCTTTCCCCTCTCTTCTTTACGTTTCATTTTTTTACTTTAAAGGGGAGAAATAAAGGATAAAAGGGGGACAAGAAGGCAGAGAAATTTGACAAAAAAAGAAAGAAGACAAACCTTGGCTACTCGGATAATTTCGGGAATGTTCAGGTAGGCTTGTACAGGAGGTAAGCCTTTTCCGACGAGGTAGGATTCGTCGGCCTTCTGTCGATGCATGTGCATCTTATCCTGTTCTGAGTAAATAGCGACTGACTTGATACCCAACTCATTGCAAGCACGGAATACACGAATGGCAATTTCACCTGCGAACAAATGTATACTCATGAGTGTTGCTATGTCAAGTATCCAAGATATCACTGCAAGCTGGGAAAATTACGCGATTATAATCGTCAACAACATATATTCGTGCTCCTTCTTCATTCATTTGGACGTATTTCTGCCCAACGGAACTATGTGCATTATGACGTGAGCTCTGTTATGCGCATATCCTTATGGGTCTCAGGATCCATGTCTTAAGTAATGCACATAGTTCTGTTTGGCAGAAATACGTCCATTTGTGGGGTTTAAGATTAGCACAATGAGGTTGAGGTTCGATTCTTTGGTTCAAAGAGAGACTTGGTCCACATTTGGCAAAGAGGAATCAAGCCACATCAGATATTGCCGGACTTAAATGGGCAATTTAATTTTTTACAAGAGAACGTTTGTGCGGATTCCTTTGAAAATTTTATGGCATTCGCCTCGTACTATGTGCAGAAAATTCACTGAAATTTGCACAAAAATCTGCACAACTGTTTTCATGTGAACAATTGAATTGCCCAATTAAATTTCGCAATAGCTGATGCGGCTTGGTTCCTTTCTGCTAAACGCGGTCCACTTGACGGTACCACGGTACAGCGGTCAAATGACATTTTCAAAAAATATTTTGATAATACAAATTTTGTGGAAAATTGAACACAATGGTTCTTTTTTTGTCTCAAGATTTGAGTTAAAATTTTCTTGGCGTCGAAGGTTCCGTGTGAATTTTCAACTTTCAACACGCTTGTTTTAGAAATCTTATGAAATATCACTTGACACCTTCACCCGCAATACCCTTCAATTAGGTGAATTTTAATTAACTTTTGAGCTGGAAATTAGCAACTCAATTTTACATATTTTTCGAAACTCTGCCTAGATAGCGGCTGTTGACCGTCATTCCTCTCTTTCTTATATTTTCCTGAAATATGACAAAATTCAGAATGGTTAAAATTTGCCACTTTTAAATCCGAACACACGACAATTGTTGTTTAAAAAGTCGAACATATTCTGGAAAGCAACAATTAAAGGGGATTCGACCATTTTTCCCTGAAAGTTCCGTCATTTTTACTGACATTTCTCAGTTACCTATTGCGGCTATCCTTGACTTCCAAGTAGCAATGATCGCGATAATTTGTGATTTGATCGGATGATGTATCGCAATTCTATCGACGTCCAATTATTGCAATTTCATTGGATAAATTTACAGTAAAATTTCAATTTTATCGACGGCGATCTATAGTAATGATATCGAAAAAAATCGTGATATATTGAGATAAAATTTCCATTTTATCGATTGAGGATAATTGCTTGGATGTTGATGATCATAGCGATTTTATCGTTAAAAAATCGTGAAAAAATGACGACTTTCAAAATATCGCGATTTTTCCGTTGAAAAATGCTCCTTGGGCTGTGGCAACCACGTGAAATTATTTGGGACGAAAATGTCAGAGATCAGACGTCGAAATCAAGAAAATAAAATAGATGAGTATGATGAATTACCTCTATTAGCTACTAGGACACTTCGGATTGGTTTATATTCTACACTGGTTGAAAAGTTTGATTTGGCGAGTGACAAGGAGATGAACTGGTTCTTGAACTGGCCGCGAACGGCTCGAGACATTCTATTTATCGTCATCTTGAATTTATTCCTATAATACTTCAGTTAACTTGGACCACACATCTAAAACAGACAAAGAAGATGATTTCTGTTAGCACAATGTTCAGACGTTCAAAGTTGATAGGTACCGTGAGAAGCAAAAACCAAAGATGAAGACATATTTTTTGAACATGTGATATGTGACCGTCCTTTGCTTAACATCTCGAAGTGAAATACGGGGTGATTTCAGTGGCGAGGCTTGAATGATCAATAATCGATATTTCCCCATTGAAGCAATGGTAAAGAATCGATTACGAAGGTGATCGCCTACAATTTATTTTTGACGACAAGGCCGAGAATTTCTCAAAATCTGAATTTTCGACCCAACTTGGCAACTCAAAAAGTAACCACGCTGGGGCAAATGAGTGAATTTTTGAATGAAACTTTGCAACGTTGCGATGCAATTAGGTTCCTCTTGCTCACACCCCTTCGATTGAAAAGCAGCCCCTTGCCCCATCCCCCACCGCATCCTCGTAAGGATTTTTAGAGGCTTCATCACTATCGAATTTCTGATTCAATGCTCTAATTATCCTCCCAACATGTGATCTGATTGTAAGCGCCACGCAGTGGAACGAGTCAGTCAGAGAGGTCGGACATGCAATTTTTTACTAAAACTGCAAATTTTGATGTTTAATTCGTCAAAATTTAATTTTAAGGGATGATTCTAGCGGAAAATTTCACGAGGAAACCAATGGAAACACTTTCAAAATCTCAAAGTATTGTATATTGTCAAACCAACCCCATAGACTCGATCCACTGTGCGGCATCACTGTAAGGGCGAGAAAAATGCTTATGCAATTAATAATCAATTATTTCATAATTAATCCGCTCCCACGGTGGAAACGCAGAGCTATGTTCGCTATGTTCGGCAGAAGAGACGAAATGCAAATAAAATTACCCGTGCTCATTGATGCTTCTCTAATCAATGACAAATAATCATTTGAAGAGGAAAGGACGTTTAGATTGCGAGACACGTCGGAAAAAAATAGGTCACATTATAAATTCATCCATAAAATTCGAACGTTTCGGCAAGTGCGGCGGCGAGGGAGGGGAGTAGTTATTAATGTAACAGCCACTTTAAAACCTGTAATCGTCGATCTCATCTAGTTCATGAGATTAAGTTCGTTGGCTCGCATGAAAAAATCTACTTGAAACAACAATGACAGGCGTAAGTAGCGAAAAGGAAGAGCCGGATTCATGACTAGGCCCGCGGCATTAATAATTTGTTGCGGTAATTTGCACAGATTTCATGGCTGAGCATATTTGGACTGCGTTTAGCAGGAGGTAGGCAAGTTCTTTTGGAATCGGAGATATTACTCCTATTTGGAGAGAAAAGCTATGGTATAGGGTTGGGTGAAAGGTTTGAGGAACTCCATTGGATGATGAAATGATCTCACAAACTGCTTTTGCCTAATAGGTTTTATTTTTTAAAATGGATTAATTTTTTATGCGTGGTGGGGTATAATATATTTATTCAAAGCCTCAAAAGCCTCGAAACGTGAATTGGTGTTCAGATCAAGATTCACTTCATACGATCTTTTTTCAACAATAGTAGAATGTTGTCTTCCTCTCTTGAGACGGCTCCTTCGAATTTTTGCTCGATAGATAATACAGGATGACAAAAATTTCTTGATTTCAAAATTTGGCGACTTTTAAATGTTTCTTTCTCTTTGGGAGGAATGATTTCTCATATAAATTATTTTCACGAAAAATTGTAAGTGTTTTGAAATTGAAAAAAAGTAAAGTCTTGGCTGTATGGGTGAAAAAAAAATTCAAGATAAGTATGGCAGCTAAATTCCCTCATGTTTCAGGGCTGGACAACATTTCTGACTTTTCCTTTATTTTTCGAGAACTTGTCACTCTGTGTCAGCAACCTTCAGTACTCACTTGTTTTATCTGCCTTTGTCGCCATTCACACTTGCATTTTTTTAGTTTAATTGTTTTTTTAAACCTTTTTGCCTCGTTATGGATTTTGGGAGTTTTAGTCTTTTCACCATTTTCCGACTTAAAAAATTCGAATCTTTGACTTTAAAAAAAACCGATTTTTATTCTTTGGTAAGACTTCTCCCTCAAAAATCACAAGTTAAACCAAATTCAAAGAGGTTACTCGTCCTGCGCTGGGGAGGAATGACTCTCCGCTAATTATACCCATTATTTACGGATATAAGAATGTGTGTTGCAAAAAACATCACTTGTGAAACGAGTAGCTCATCAATATTACGCGATCGCGTTCTTCAACAAGCATTAGCCACGCTCCGAAACGATGAGGAATGGCGAACTTTTTTTGGAATTTCGGGTACAGAAATTAGTCATTTTCATGAATAATTTATCAAGCTTTGCCTCTGCATGTCAAACGTAGACAAGAGCAGAAAGGAAACTAAATTGGTGGTTACGTTAAATTTACTCCGCTCCATAATTTGGAGGTACGTGTCTGATTTCAGTCACTGACCTAAAAATTTTCTCTTTCTTCTTCATTCACAAAAGATGTTCGGTTAACGGTTACGAAAAGAAGAGCCGAAATTCCCGAATCCGACGTCTCTAATCCTGGAGATTTGGATGACTTTCTGGATTTCAATTGAAAAAAGTTCATGGACTCATTATCAAAGACAGAGTCAGTTGTCCAAATCAGATAGCTGCGTGACTATTGTAACGTGTATCGACCATTAACAAGAGTGCCCAGGAGCTAATCAGAGTCAGCTGATCGATGAATTAAACATTTTTATGCAAATGAGGAGCTCTCGGCACTCAATGTAGCTTGCCTCGGCATGCACCTACTAAAACTAAAGAGAATTGTTCATTTTCAAAACTGAACGAGAGTAAATTGGTGGAGGTTTCCCTAAAATTATAATCGAAAGGTGAGATTTCGTGGTCTTCTAGGTTCAGGATGCAGTAGTTGAACATTTTGATCGTATAAGTTGAAATTTTTGAAAAAAATGGAGGTATCAGTTGTCCACGGTCGACTTAATTTAAAAAAAAAAAAGAAAAAAAAAGCGAACGGTGGAGTGCTGGGTTCACACTCTTCTGAGGGAAAATCAAAGCCAGAAAAAAAACCTGTCCCCCACCTGAACTTCCTGAAAACCCCATTCTATTGCTTGTGGGAATGTAGGGTCTTATTTTTAGAGTTTTTTTCTAATGGTTTTTAATAACACAAAAAAGAAGAAAATTCAGAACTTGAATTTTAGTATTTCAAGCTTCATTCAAGCAATACAACGTAGTGTGATTTTGCAGTTTTCAATATGCTTATCTAGAAATCGCATGAATATCAAAAGCCATGATGGTGCACTTGACCCTTTAAATTGAAACTACAGCTGTTAAAATAGAGCTTGATAACAGTGCTTTTATCTACCAAAGTGCAAAATAAAAGTGATTAATCTTAATTCAAAATTAATCTAATCGATCGAATTAGCCAAATTCTGACAAATCTAAGAATTGATAAGATCAATCTTATTATCTAAATGCAGAATCAATCTAATCAATCCTGTTACCTAAAAACGACAAACCGTCGGACAAATTAAATGAGAAACATGTTTTTTAAAACATGAGGGTTTTTTTTGTGTTTTTTTTTTCAACTTCTGATGCAACGCAAAAAATACGGAGCAACCAGATCGTCAGAGGAAAAAACTCACAAAACTTAAGTCTTATCTCAAGTTAGTGCATTAACTGAATTGGGTCGGTCAAAACACTTTAAAGAAATGTGCTTGCATGCATGATCAGTTGCTGCGTGAAATTCGCGTAATCAATCAGAGGAAATAAAGGGAAAATTTTCAGACACTGGCAATTTCCAGAGCAGTCCCGCATTGCATTCCTACAAACAAGAGGATGTTATTTGAATGCCACGAGTTGAAGCGATAACTATTCGAACACAGCCGTCAAGGGGTTGCATACCAACCATTCTGAAGGCGGGATTTGGACGCGGGGCGGATAGTGCAAATGCATATTTGCCAGGATGACACGACATGCGTGCGTAAATGCGACACGTTCTGCGTACATTTTGGGCAAAAAAATCCGAGGAAGGCAAACCAAACCGGAGTCGTGGCAGTTTGAAGTTTGCGATTCATATTACGTAGTCTTGAGAAAAATATTACTAAAATTTCAATTGATACATCTGCTATGTTCTGGGTACAAAAATGCTGGCTTCGAATGCGACCTCACGATCTTTAGTAATACAAAAATGGACTAAACTACTAACAGCTGAGTCTAGGTGCACGGAACTGAAGAAAGTATTCAGTCGCAATCTCAAAATCCTTTTTTTAAGTCAACTTTATTAAAGTAAGAAGCCTACGGAAAATATTTGGTACTTCAAAGAGTGACATTATAGTGTATTTTTTTACATTGAGTCCTATGGAAGAAACAAAACCCCTCAAACGTAGGTATTATTCATGTGCTTTCGTTCTTTTTGCGCTGAATCCAGCCCAATCACTCCACATTAATTCCCTATTTTCAAGCGTGAAATTTGAAGCGTTCCCAAAAAAAAAAAAAAAAAAAAAAAAAAAAAAAAAAAAAAAAAAACACCGGGTCCCATATTGACAAAAAAAGGAGCGCATTCGGTGAATTAATTTAAATCTAATGCGAAACGATATGGCAGCATAGCACGTCGCTGATTCATGCTCATCTACAACGCATCGTTGCATAAGGACTCGCCGTCTGGAGCGTATATAGGGTGTCAAACCAAGGGTGTCAATACCGCGGTAGATGACGTCATAAACCGAATTTTTGATAGCGCGATATCTCGGTTATTATTCAACGTAGGAAGTTGCTGTTTGGACTGATCTTGAAATTTTCAGCTGATCGATGAGAATTGAGCATCTAAACGTCATTGTGAGGTCATAACAACTGACCCATTAAGGGGAAGTCTCTAGGAGACAGAGACGATTAATCGAACGTATTTCTGTCAAACGGAACAATGTGCATTATGACGTGAGCCCTGTTATGCATATATTTTTATGGGTCTCAGGGCTCATGTCTTAATGCACACAGTTCCGTTTGATAGAAATACGTCCAATAAAGCAGCCAAAACCCGATTT